GCTGCTCCCGTGTGCTCGGCTCCTGTGGTCGGTCTGGTTTGCCGTGTGCTGCCGTTCGGTGCTGCTGCTATGGCACCGTCGCGGACTGGCGAAGCTGTAACAGGAGCGGCAGCAGCAGCAGGAGCGGCAGCAGCAGCAGCAGCACCAGGAGGAGCGACAGCAGCAGCAGGAGGAGCAGCAGGTGCTGCCACTGATGCATCGCCTGCATGCCCTAGTGGGTTTGCCTTAGCTCAAGCCAACACAACATGCAGCATTCTGAGTGTCGGAATCTCACCAGAAGCTGTCTCATCGCCAGCAGCAGCAGCAGCAGCAGCACAGCTCTCCGCAACCAACAACACACTAGGAGTTTACTTGAAGCACCCTGCTCTCCTCCTCCCCCTCCTTCCCTCACTCCTTCACCACACCATCACCCACCTCTCCCACCTCCCTCTAGGCGTCTCACTCGCCCTGTTCCACTTCGCCTCCTTTGCCCTCGCCTCTCTCGCCCTCCGTGCCATGATTGCCTCGCACGTGCAGACCTGCCGCTTTCTTGACCCTCAATCTCCCTTTTGCCCAGATCGTGCAGCGATAGCGGTGGTGGATCGAGGGAAATGTGACTGCAGAGGGCTGCAGTATGCGCTGTGGCGTGTGTGGGTTGGGTACCTTATACACAACAGCATGTACCCTTTTTGTGCCTTGCTGACTTGCTGCGTGCCGTACATAGACTGGGCTGGTATTCGTTATAGGCGGCGTTCTGGCCGAATTACCAGGGAGTAGGGCATGTATAAGAGGCTACTTAGTTAGTTATCCCTCAGTGTCCTAATAGTTCATTAATAAGTCTTATATCTGTCATTCACATAGGTTAGTGTGATACAGGGTAGTGCGGAAACAGGAAGCTAGTGGTTGCTTTATATGGAAACACAGGAGGTGATAGAAATACCGGTACCAGCTATTATTTGGAAGGGGCTGAGCTTGCCCCATTATTTGCGCGCGCTTTGGTAAGCTATGCTTGCGCTACAACGAATTTGCGCTTATGGGGAACATGTAGTGCGGCGATCACGTTGTCGGACCCGGGAAGCGACACCGTGAAAACATCGTCCGTGGTCGCATTTGCCTCTGCGACCTCGTCAACAGTCGTCGTCGTTTCCGCGAAAGCTGGCTTTGCGACTTCCTGGGCCTCCGTGGCGACAACGATCAGCCCCTTCCTCTCGGGTACGCCGTACGCGGTAATAACATTATCGGAACCCGGAATTGACATCTGAAAGGAGGTGACCTTTTTCTTATTTCCACGGATGTTGAACGCCTGAATCACATTGTCAGAACCGGGCAGCGACACGGATGCAGTGTTGTCGTCAGCAGAGGAAGCAGAAGCAGACTTGGGGGAAAGCGAGGCGGTAGCAGTAGTGGCCGTGGCAGTAGCGGTGGTGGTGGTTGAATCGCGATCTGACTCGTCGGTAATCGCCACTACGTTGCTCTTTCTGTGGGGCACGTTGCGGGCCCAGATCTCGTTGTCCGAACCAGGAAGAGACACGTGGAAGGTGGAATCCTCCTCGTCCTTCGTCACCTTCTCGTCCGCGACTCCCGCATCGTTTGCGACGACAACGGTGCTGCGAGTCGCCAGCGTCGCAGGAACGCCGAACGCGACGATCTCGTTGTCGGAGCCAGGGAGCGACACGCTGAAGCTGCTCCTAGGCTTGGAAGCCACGTGGCTCCGGGGCTTGTGGATCGCCGCGATGACGTTGTCAGAACCAGGCAGAGAGACGGACGTGAGGCTGGCCTCCTCGTTCTCTTCGTTGGCGATCAGTCGCGAAAAGACGTCGTCGTCATCGTCGTCCTCGTTGTCGTCATCTTCGTTGTCGTCATCTTCGACGATCATGTCGTCGCCATTGTCGTCATTGTCGTCCGTGTCGTCAGCGGGTTCGGCGATCTTCGCCGGCTTCACATGCACGCGGGAGATGATCAGGTTGTCGGATCTGGGGAGCGACACTGCCACGTCAGCAGCAGCGGGATCCACGTCCTCCTCGAACGGCGCGACTTCGGGCGCAACGACGACAGTGGAGCTCGTTGGCTCGCGAGCTGGGTGAGACGGGAATGGGAGTATTCGTGGAAAAGGGTTGAATGGGTGTGCGATATGCGATGAGAGTGGATGCGCGATGGGGATTGGATGTGTGACTCGCAGTAGGGAAAAGCAGGGTGCCAGGCGAACTCAGAAACAACTGCAGCTGAGTCACTTGCGGGAGGAGTCCGAAGTGTGCGGCAAGATTGCAATCAACCCAACGGCGAACGGAACGACAATGGCGGGTGATTGAACAATGGCGGGGGTGTGATAAGCTTTCCCAGTCGGCGCTTGATGAGTCGAGTGCTCACCTTGGGAGTCGTCGGATTCGGAAGCGGATGGGAGGATGGCGCCTTGAGCGCCGTCGTTCCAGGCGGCCATGGCCAAGCGGAAGAGGCTCGACGCGGAGATGGGGGATTGGCTCTGCGATGCGGTTTCTGCGCTAAGAGTCGTGGGGATGATTGGCCGAGCGCCGTGAGCGATGGTCGCGCTTGCAAGCACGCAGAGAACGAGAAGGGATACCGCTTTGTGAGCCATGGTGATTCTCTTTATCTGCTTGAGGGAATCGCGCGGACTCCAGAGACGAGCAGAGCGATAGAGACTAACGTGGTGCGGAGAGGAGCTAGGTGCAGGGCTGCTATATGTAGATCGGGAAAGTGAACCACGCTAGAAGGCACTGGACTGGAGTTTAGAATGGATGTAGAAACGAGTGCTTCGGCTGTACTATATATGGTGTGGAACTAGGACATGTCTGTAGGTCTCTTGTTACGTGAGGGGCATCAGTCAGTAGCTGTGCCAGGGAGAGTGTGACAGGGTCACAGAGGGAACCCTCCTGTGGGGAGTTTGCTGCAATGTGGCGCAGCGACATGACGATTTGCGTGAGGGACGATGGGCTGTGCTGGTCAGGTGAAATTCGTGGCGCCATTCGGAAGAGGGAAATTCGCTGGCGAAATTCCAAATTCTCACGAGCGAAGCGAAGTCCACAACGGTTGCCCCGATAGTGGCCATTGGATGACGTCGAAGCGCACTAGGGGCGATTCGGTTGGCCTAATGTGCCCACTCGCGAACATGTTGGCCCCATAGATTGCAAGCATGGGAACAGGTCATTGCTACGTCGCTTTCTAAAGCGTACGAGGTGGACGTAGTTTTCCGGTTGAAGAGATGTAGGCAGCTTCCCTATAGAACGTTATTTAGAGTATAGCATTTTTTAGCAACACATGACATTTGTATGATCCGCTTACGGGGTCTGACTATGAAGGCAGCTGTCAGTTGCGAGGGTGAGCTGACAATAATCTGACTGCCGTCGTCGTCAGCAAGTTCGGATTCCACGCCTTCAGAAAAATACATCGACCAATCCCTGCAATCTACACGGCACTGTGACGTGGAACGGCGTGCCAGGAACTGTGGAGTGGAATGCCAAAATTGGAAAGATCACAGATTCACCGAACTCGCTTTCTTTGTACAGTACAATTGATGCCTGTTTGAGCCCCTCCCGGTTGCCTTGTGAAGGGGGCGTATAAGCTGTATCGTGTATTTCGCATAATTTTCGTCAATTCGCAGCTAGCTAAAAAGGATTCGCAGGTGCTTATATTAAGTATCTGTAACATTATTCGTTGACATTTTGACTTCAGTCTCTTCAGTTTGACTTCAGTCTGTTCGTTACTATTGGTCCACAACCACGCGACGCGCTTGTATCGTGGGTGCAACAGGCTGGGGAAAGGACCTCGGGTGCAGCGTTTCCATCCGGTGCAGGGCAAATTCGCGTGCACTGGCTGGGCATCATGTGTACAGCATCACTCTTCTTGGGACCGTCGATGGAACGTTTCTTTGTAAAATACAGGTATAGATGAACAGCTGGATCCTCTCTTGCGTCCGCCCAAAAGCTCGAAAAGCCAATGAACATGTCGCAAAACAATGTATCAAACAGGTATTGGTGCATGCTCCAGCTACCAACTTCACTTGCTCTTCTTCCCACTCCTCACAAATCCTCACTAGTTTCCCCCCTCTCTTCTGATCGACCAGATTATTCTCACCAAGGCAAGATGACATGCCTGGACCAGGCCCTACTCGATCCGCAAGCACCGCGCGCTACTCTCACCGTCGTTCCCTGCCGTCCTGCATTCGCCATGCCCAGCCACCATGCGAGTCGCGACAGATTGGAGCAGCTCTGCTCGCGAGTTACAAACGCCGCCCTCGCTTCAGATCCCAACGAGTCTTCAAATCCCACGGGATCTTCAGATCCAATCGGCTCTTTTTTTAAGGGGCCTTCTATTCCTATCGGCTTGTGTTTGGAAGGATCTTCGGATCCCGCTCGTTGCTTCCTCGAAGAGCGTCACGATCTTGATGATTTTGACGGCTTGGGCTGTTTCGCCGTCTCCCTGCCGACGGAGAACGTGTTTGCGACCAGCCTACCCCCTGATGGCCGTCTGCTAGAGTTAACGGCTAGGGGGTTGGAGGACATTCTCGCGACTCGGCTTTCGGCAGCTGATCTGGCGGGAGCCTCAGATTCTGTTCCCATACCATCCGCTCGAAGCGCCTGTAAGGATCTTGCCGCTAGCTTTGCTGTTGACGTGGCAGAAAATCCGGCCAATGAGGATCTCGCCAGCGTGTCAGATCCCGACAGTGATTGGATCATGCGGTCACGCGACTGGCTGCTTGAAGCGCGGGATTCGCTGTTGGAACGCAAATACGAGGTCACGGCATTCACGACTCGCGAGGTACGAACGGGGTTTGGGCCGTGAAGGTTCGAGGGCGTGAATGGTTAAAGCCGTGAATGGTTAAAGTCGTGAATGGTTGGAGGGTGTGAATGATTTAAGCCGTGAATGATTAAAGCCGTGAATGCAAGCAGACAAACCACTCTAGTTTGAGCAATGCTCCATGCGTGAATAGTTTCAAACTATTCAGCTTGATCCAGTTAGCGCGAATACTTAGCACGTTGTCTCTCCCATCCCGTCCTTCCACCTCTATGCACTCACTCCGCTTCTTCCCCGCCCCCGCCCAATGCCCCCCTCCTCCCCTTTCCCATCCGCCCCCCGCTCCTCCATCCGCTCCGTTCTTTCCCCCCCGTTCTCTCTCCCCCGTCCCCCCGTGCCGGCAGGGGTTGGACCTTTGGTCGCTCGCCGCGCAGTGCGCCAACCCGTACGAGCTCCTTGCTGACGTGGCATCGCTAAACCCCAACCCCGTTGCGGCAGCATCGACCTCCGCGTTGGCCTCTGGAATCTTGCCCTTCCCCATCTCCACCTCCCCCCAACCCAGTTGCGCTTCCCCGCAACCCTCAAGCGCTTCCCCCCAACCCATAAGCGCGTTCCCTCACGCCTCCGCCGCCCCGCGCGCCATAAGCCGCGCGTTCTTCAAAATGGTCGAAATGACGCGCCTTTTCCGCCTGCTGGGGGGAGCCAAAGGCGGAAGCGCTTCCCCGGATCTGCCCCGAAAGGTTTCCGCTTCCCCCGTTTCCCCTCCCCGGCCCCTCCCGCTTGTCTCCGCGCACCTGTGTGAGGGGCCTGGGGGGTTCATTCAAGCGGTGCAGCTGCTGCTGGCGGAACAGGCCGGGGGGAGAGGGGGGGTAGTGGCGAAAGGCGGAAAGGGAGGGAAAGGGGGAGGTGGAGGGGTAGGGGGAGCTGATGTGGGAGCGGAGGTGGCGGGTCGTGGTTTGCAGCACCTGTGGTTCGGAATCACTCTCCGAGGCAAGGCAGCTGTAGGCTCGGCAGCTGTAGGCTCGGCTGCTGTTGGCTCGATTGTTGGTTCGCCGCCTATTGGTTCGGTTGCGGGTTCGAAAATTTGTGTGGGGCTGGGTACTGGGTCTGGTGTGAGTGCCGGTGAGGAGGGGTGCAGAGCGGTGGTGGAAGGGCATAGGGGGAGGGGGAGGGGGACGGGGAGTTTTTTGGGTGGGATGGTTCAAGGAAGGGGGGGTGGGGGAAGGGGAATAGGAGGTGGGAGAGGAGGGAGAGGGGAGTGGGGAGGAGGAGGGGGAGGACAATACAGGGGAGGAGGAGAATCCGGAGAAGGAATCAATAGTGGTAGAGGGGAAAGGAGATCAAGGGCAATTCCTGTGCCAGCGTCCGCCAGGGGGGGCAGAGGTGGGGGCAGGAGCGGCAGGGGTGGGGGAGGGAGTGGCTGCAGCAGCCCTGGCAGCAGCAGAAGCAGCGGCAGCTGGGGCAGCTGGGAAAGCAGCAGCAACAGCAGCAGCGGTGGCAGCAGCAGGAGTGGCAGCGCTGAGTGGAGGGAGCATCCGCTGCATTGGAAGCCGCAGCAGCAGCAGCATCAGCAACAGCCGCAGCAGCAATGGGTACAGCGACAAAAGCAGCAGCACCAGCAGTGGCAGCAACAGCACCAGCAGCAGGAGAAGCAGTGCGGTTCGCAGAGGGCAGGTGTTGGCTCGGGAGGTGTTGGCTCGGCAGGTGTTGGCTCGGCAGGTGTTGGCTCGGCAGGTGTTGGCTCGGCAGGCGTTGGCTCGGCAGGCGTTGGCCCGGCAGGCGTTGGCCCGGCAGGCGTTGGCCCGGCAGGCGTTGGCCCGGCAGGTGTTGTCTCACTTGGAGCAATCAACTGTTCGGGCGAGGAGGCAGGGACGCAAGAAATAAAGCAGGGAGCGGGGCAGGGAGGAGAGCAGGGAGGGGGAGGAAAGGCGTGTAAGAGCAGGAGGAAGAGGGAGAAGAAGCGGTCCAAGCAACAGCAGGTGACAGGGGAGGTGCAGCAGCAGCGATCTCCTCTGCGCCCTGTCAACCTGCAACCCCCTTTGCTGCCTGCTGCTGCCGTTGCTCCCACCACCGCCTTGCCCGCACCTCACCTTGCGCCCCACCCTGCCGCCCACCCTGCCGCCCACCCTGCCGCCCACCCTGCCGCCCACCCTGCACCCCACTCTTTTCCCCAAACTGTCCTGCACCCTGCCCCCTCTGCCGCCTCTGGGCATGCACCTGACTTTGTGCTGTGCCTGCTGGGAAGGCGGAGAGGTGGGCAGGGAGGACGGTGTGTGGAAGCACGGGGAGAGCAGATAAGTAATGGTGGTGCGGGTATCCTAGGCAAGTATGGTGGTACAGAGAAGGACGGGGGATGCAGTGGTGATGGCTTAAAGGAGGTGGAAGAGGAGAGAGAGGAGGGAGAGGAGGGAGAGAAAGAGGAGAAGGAGCGCTGTGCCCTCTGCAGTCCTCCGCACAGCTCTGCCTCGTTACAGTTACCTTCGTTACAGTCACACCCTGATCAGCTGCTTCCACGATCGATCGTGTCAACCCCCATCAGCTTCCAGGCAGCTTCCTTCCTGTCCCACGGCCATGTGCTGTATGGGATGGACGGCACAGGAGACCTGACACGTCATGCCAACGTGGCAGCCTTCGCTGCTGACGTCATCAGGGGCAGCCACGTGGACGCAGGTTTGAACAGTTCAGCAGACTGCCAGGCTGGCAAGTCAGCGATGGAGGGAGAGGGGGCAATGGAGGGAGGGGCGGCAGTGGTGACAGCGGACGGGGGGTTGGACAGTTCAGTGGATTGGGATCGACAGGAGGCCATGCACGCCCGCCTTATCTTTTGCCAAGTGCATGCTGCACTCAAGCTGCTGGTGAGCCTTATATTAGCTCAATTGTCCTCTTGTGGTGTGGTGGTGGGTCATGGTGGAGGCCATGCACTGCCGCCTTGTCTTCTGCCAAGTGCACGCCTCTCTCAAGTTGCTGGTGAGAGCAGGTAACTCATTGCCATGCCTTGTTCACTGCTGGCAACTCATTGTAATTGGTTGGTCTGTCCAAATTGAGCTGGTTGGTACGACCATGCGGTTGGTTAACCAACAATGGCCATTGTTTCTCTGGTTGGCCATTGTTGGTTCATCAACCCTTTAGAAGCGTCTCTCTTTCCTCTCTTGCTGCTTCTGTTCCCTCCACCTCGTTCCCCTTCTTGTCCCCTGTGTTCCCCCCCCAACTCTCTCCCACCAGGCGCCAGGAGGAACGTTCGTGCTCAAGCTGCTGGGCGGATCGCTGCTCTCAACAGCGTCTCTCCTCGCCCTGCTCGCCCTCTCCTTCAGCTCCATCCATCTCGTCCGCCTGCGCTCCTCCCGAGCCTGCAACGCCGAACGTTACGTGGTGGCTCGGGGATTCAAGGGGAGAAATGCAAATTCTACAGCCTCCCCCATTTCCTCCACCACCCCATCTCCTGCGCCCACCTCTCCCTCCTCCCCCTCTCTCTCCCACATTCTCCTCGACTTTAACCGCATATCACTCCAGTGGGAATCCCTCCCTCCTCCCCTCTCCCCGCTCCTCGCCCCCGCCCTCACTCTCCCCCTCTCCGACTCCTTCCTCCGCGCCCTCCTCTCCTTCGAGGCATGCATGCAGCAGCAGCAGGCGCAGGCCATGGGGCGCGCGCTGCTGATAGGGGAGCAGCTTGTAGAGGGGATACCGAGAGGGCCGGCGAGGAAGAGCAAGTGTTACAGGAAGAGGAGGGTGCTGTGGAGGGAGGAGGAGGAGATGAGGAGGAGAGGGTGTGTGCTGGCCAAGGGGCTTGGATTGGGAGTGAAAGAGGGCATGGCGTGTGTGTGAGAAATCGTGAGAGAAATTTCGACCAAGGGCCAAGGGACTTGGATTGGGAGTGAAAGAGGGCATGGCGTGGGTTTGATTAGTGTTGTGTGTAGCCTGTATGTATGTATTTCAGCAGTAGTAGCAGCAGCAGCAGCAGTAGTAGCAGCCGCACCAAGTAGGGCATGGAGCGGTGCGTATATGGTAACAGCTTGTCAAGAGGATGCGGGTGAGGAGCAAGTGTTTTGGCTTATAGGAAGAGGAGGGTGGCTTCGAGGGAGGAGGGGGAGTTGAGGAGGGGGTGTGTGCTGGCCAGAGGCTTGGCTTGGGTGTGAAAGAGGGCATGGAGTGTGAGTGTGTGTGTGTGAATAGTGCAGTGTGTATTTAGTGTGTATGTATATTAGTAACAGCAGCCGCAGGCAGCAAAGGCCATGGCTTCAGCATTGCTTGTATGGTTCCAGCTTGTAGAGGGGATGCGGAGTAGCCGGTGCTACATCAAGAGGAGGCTGTTGTGGAGGGTGGAGAGGAAGATATGTGGAGGGTGTGTGTGCTCGCTCGCCTTTTGAGCCGACTCAAAAGTCAGGGGATACGGAGGAGTAGCTGGTGCTACATCAAGAGGAGGCTGTTGTGGAGGGTGGAGAGGAAGATATGTGGAGGGTGTGTGTGCTCGCTTGCCTTTGAGCCGACTCAAAAGTCAGGGGATACGGAGGAGTAGCCGGTGCTACATCAAGAGGCGGTTGTTGTGGAGGGTGGAGAGGGAGACAAGGAGGGGGCGTGTGCTCGCCAAGAGCCTTTGCTTGGATGCGAAAGAGGGCGTGGGAATGTGTGATTTGTCTTTTACGTGTGTACTAGTCTCTGTTTATTTACTAGCTTGTGAAGGAGGAGGTTATGGAGCAAGCTTGGTGTACAGTACAGCTTTGTGCAACGTGTCAATTGTAAATTGCATTTGTGGTATGTGTAGCAGCAGTAGCCAACAGATGGCAAAGAGGCGAAGGTTTCTAAATTAGCAGCACATTATAGGGTTGTTATTTGTGAGTTTGTTTCCCGAGCAGGGTAGTGAAGTTGCTTCATGTATGCGAAGTGACAATTCTAGCACAGTAAAAAATGATAGATTAGCAATTTAGCATGTAGAGGAAGCTGTATGTAACGAGGATTTCCTCCTCCATCCCCACCTCCTCTGCCGCCGCCACCACCACCACCACCACCACTACCACCACCTCCACCTCCCCTGCGCCAGGAGAGCACATCCGTCTGTTCAGGGGAAAAGTCGAGACTCGAGTATCTGAGTCTCGTAAACTTGGATCAGCTCGGAGCGCTTCTCCCCACTCGTGTTTCACCGCTGAAACTGTTCTCGCTCATTCCGCATTGGAATTACAGAAGCGAGTAAGAGCAAGGCTGCCTCTGCGTCAACAGTTCGTGTGACTTTCGCTGACACGGCTTCAAAGCGTTTGAGAGGAGAATTAGCGGAGCCATTTCTGTGGTAACCCGATATTAGCGAAACGGCTCATGTGGTAACCTGATGGTACAGGCCGTCTTGCTTTTTGAGGCGTCGTTGAGGCGGACCTAAAATTTTGAGAAGCGACTTTTCTGAGTCGAGTCGATCATCACACCATCCGTCACCAGACTCCGTTCGCGAGCGTCGCCAGCGCCGTTCGCGATCGTCGCGATGGCGAGTCAGAAAACAGTGACGACGGTGATCCGGCTGGTGATCAACGCGGGCCAGGCGAAGCCCGCGCCGCCCGTGGGGCCGGCACTGGGGCAGCACGGGCTGAACCTCATGGCGTTCTGTAAAGACTTCAACGCGCGCACGCAACACATCAAACCAGACGTCCCCGTTCCCGCGCTGATTACTGCATACTCGGTGAGTCTCCATGCTGCTTGCTGCGGCCAGCACGGGCTGCTGTGAACCTCATGGCGTTCTGCAAGGACCTCAACGCGCGCACGCAACACATCAAACCGGACGTTCCCGTTCCCGCTCTCATCACCGCATACTCGGTGAGTGTCAACGCAAGTCAACGCAAGTCAGCGCGTCGTGTCGTTGACTCTAGACTGGTTGAATGTTTCTGAGCTGGTCGGTGGCGGTTCCAGGCCCCGCGTGGGGCCGGGCCGGCGCTGGGGCAGCACGGGCTGGACCTGATGGCTCCGCGTGGCGTTGTGAAGACTTCAATGCGCGCACGCAGCACATCAAACCAGACGTCCCGATCCCTGCACTGATTATTGCAAGGATTGCCCTGCTTTCGGGTTGCGCTGGGACAGCACGGGCTGGACCTGATGGCTCCGCGTGGCGTTGTAAAGACTTCAATGCGCACACGCAGCACATGAAACCAGATGTCTGTGCACTGCACTCACCGAGTTGATCCCTGCACTGATTACTGCATACTCGGTGAGTGTCTGTCTGTGCTGTGCTGCATGCGGTTTGCCCTAAACCTTATGGCGTCTTGCAAGGATTCAACTCGCGCACACAACACATCGAACGCCATGAGGTTGAGTTCAAACATCAATATGCAACACATCGAACCGGACATCCCCATTCCCGCGCTCATCCCCCGCGTACTCCTCAGTGAGTGGTCATGCTGCATGATAATCTCTTCGCCGCTCAGTACCGTATTTGTGTGCAGTAAGTGTGTCACCGCGCTCATCCCCCGCGTACTCCTCGGTGAGTGTCCCTGCTAGTTGACACCGAACCGGACATCCCCATTCCCGCTCTCATCACAGAGGAGTACTCCTCGGTGAGTCTTGGTGCTGCTGCTTCCATCCGAAACATCCCCTGCCTTTCCTTATCACTGCGTGAAACTGGTGCTGTTCAGTCCACTGCCTTCCCTTATCACCACGTGATTGCTGCGAGTCAGCACCTCCCTTATCTTCTTCATCAGGATTCGCTCATATGACTTCATAATGCTCCCCTACCCTCCCTCTCCCCCTCACCCCACCCACACACCCACTTCCCTCCTCTTCACCTCCCTTATCTTCTTCATCAGGGCGCTCATCTGACTTCATACCCTCCCCTCTCCTTCTTGGCCCTCCACACCCACTCCACTTCCCGCCCTCTCCTTCGCCCCCTCCCCCCGCGGTCCTCCTGTCACCAGGATCGCTCGTTTGATTTCATTATCAAGTCCCCGCCCACGTCATACTTCCTGAAGCGGGCGGCGGGGCTGTCTCTGGGTGGCGGGGAGGCGGGGCATCAAATGGTCGGCGAGGTGTCCTTAAAGCACGTGTATGAGATCGCCAAGATCAAGCAGCAGGACCCCGGGTGCAGCTACATTCCTCTCGAGTCCATCTGCCGATCAATTATAGGAACAGCTAGGTCCATGGGCATCCAGGTGAAGAAATCTCTTGAAGTCCCCAGCAGTACCTAATTGGATCAGTTTGAATACGGTTGTAACAGTTTGTTTTTTCTCAGAAATGGTGCGCGTCTGTGGTTCAAACAACAGGGTGTTCTAGGTCAGGAATCAGGATCAAGCAGCAGGACCCCGGGTGCAGCTACTTTTCCATCGAATCCATCTGCTGGTTGAAATTACTAGAGGTCCCCAGCACTAGCAGCTGAGTGGATTAGGTTTGCTATAGTTGGTTCAGTTTCTATCCTTAACAACGGTGTGGTGGTGTGGAGTTTCCAAACAGCAGACTTCTATGCCAGGATCAAGCAGCAGAACCACGGGTGCAGCTACATCCCTCTGCAGTCCTTCCGTAGATCGATCATCTCAACAGCACGGCTAGGTCCTTGTGGATTTAGGTTAAAATATCAATAGAGGTACCTACCCTACCCTAGCAGCACCAGCTGATTGAGTAGGTTGAGTTAGGTTGAACTTAGTTCTGGCAAGCCTGGGTTGGCTTGGGCGTTGTCTCTTTACTAGCCTAAATTTCATTTTCCAACGTCCAATAGAAGTAAACGACCTCAATTTCATTCATCCAAGAAGAATATTCACGCAAGCACGCAAGCAATGCATGAGGTCCAGGCTGTACCCTATTTGCAGCTTCTCAAATGAGAAGCTTCTCAATAGCGTCCTGCACGACAAGCAAACAAGACAACAAAACAGGAAAATCAGATATTAACAAAACCCTCTTCGGCCAGCCAGGAAATATACACCTAACATATGTGTGTGCGCGCACAGGAAATCGCTCGACCAGAAGATTGGCAAATGGTCGAAATGAGGAAGCTTTGCTGACCTTGAGGTTTTGGATCTGCGATTTGAGCTGGCTGCCCTCGTTGGACGTCACGGAACATGCGATCGCAGGCCGCGACACACCGCACGCGCGCGCAGAGGTGGTTTTTGAGTCGACTCAAAAATCACCCTGGGAATACCGAATGATGCAGTATTGATTACCGTACCTTGAGGTTTTGGATCTGCGATTTGAGCTGGCTGCCCTCGTTGGACGTCACGGAGCACGCGATCACGGGCCGCGACACGCCGCACGCGCGCCCCAGAGCCTCCCGCGACGGCACGAACACGTACGGCACGTTCTGCATCGCAGAGCAAGCGGGAGGGCGCGGGGCGTGGGGTAGAGGCGTCGGGAGAGGGGTGGAGGGGAGGGGGGGAAGGGGATGGACGGGGAGGGGGGAGGATGGGAGAGGGGTGGAGGGGAGGGGGGGGGGGGGGGGGGGGGGTGGAGGCGGGAGGGGGGTGAAGATGTTGAGGGAGGTAGCAAGAAGCAGCACCAAAAAACAAATCAGACATGAAGACGAGACAGGCGCGAGAAGCGCGAGAAGCGCGAGAAGCGCGACAAACGCAAGAGACGCACCTTGTCCTCGGCGAGCAGCGGCAGGTGCAGCAGAATCTCGAGGGGCTCCGCGTCGGCCGCCATGACGACGAACTCCGAAATGCCGCGGTTCAGCGTCTTGGTCGCTGCGCGCGCGGGGAATGGGGAAGAGCGAGATACGTAAAACCCGGAAACACGTGAAGACGGTGGGAGGGGAAGGTGGGGGAACGGGTTCGGGGAGGGCGAAGGAGGGGGAGAGAGGGGGAAGGTGGGAGGAGAGGGGGGTAGAGGAACGGACAGATGGCAACCCGGCGCTGATCACTCTAAGCGCACAGATGCTAGAAACGTAAAGCCTTGAAGGCTTTAAACCCTTGGAGACGCATGTCCTACGACCAGCATAGACGGGTGCAGCTCTGCACCTGAGGAGGAGACGAAGGGGGGTCATGTCACCGAACTCACCTTCATTCGCTCCCTTGCGAAGCTGCTTGTAGTTAGAAGCCTGCTGTACAATATCGAGGATGGTGATGGTCAGCTGCGCATCAGCCAAAGGGTAAGCCTTCGGATTCACAGCCTCAGAGCCCTGCGAAAAGAACAGGACGAAGACGGTAAGGCCGCAGCGAAAAAACCCACCAATGATTGTTGCTTTGTCCTTAGGCCTATGTTTTGAGAACACGAGCAAAACATGTGAAGATCGAGGCATTTCGAACTGTACAGGACTGTAAAACGTAAGAACGATAGAGGACGAAGAGGCTACTCACCATGGCTAATCCCTGGCCGTGACCCGGGGAAACTAGGTTCAAATGGTGGCGGGAACTAAAGACCAGAAACTCGGGTAACACCTAAGGCTTTGGCGAGGCGAGAGGCCGAAGTGCTGAAGAGGTTTCGGTGGGGAATAGATATGGCAATTGGCAATTGGGGAGAGCTTCGAGAAAGCAAAATCGGCCCCACTATCGAAATGCTGACTATATCGAAGGGAGTCTTGTTGAATTCGTAGAATTTCCTGTGTAGCTATTAGACCAGTTTAATCTATGAGTGTCTATTTCTTGCGAAGTGTAGCGTAACATTCAGGCGGTTGCGAACGCCTGGCAGTGTAAGGAATTTTCCGGATTCCTTACTGGGTCACACTGTACGCGTACAACCCCGACTTTCGGAAAACCAGGCTCGGCCCGCCGACCTCGCCTTCCGAGCCACCACCGCGTCGCTTTCGGGTTTTCCAACCCCGAACCTGCACCCAACCATCTCGCGACCCCGCGACCTCGGCCTAGCTAGCCTTGCTATATTGTGCCTAGGCCCAGGGCTCTCGCTAGGATTCAGGCCTGTCTGACAGGATGGGTAAAAAAAAAAAATGCGTCTTACGCTCAGTTTGGCGCTTTTTTTTCGTCTGACCTCTAGGACGAAACAATATCACAAGTCTGATTAGACAGATGAACAATTCTACGTGGTCTACACTAACTACATCAATTCTACAACATACAATGTGAAAACTAAGTATCATTTCACCATTCTACGTATCAGTCAGACTCGCTACCACTATCATCAGCATCACTACATCTGTCTAGGCTATCAGACGGCACTGGAATAGGATAGTTAGCATTCCCCTTGCGACTGAGCCAGGGGAACTCTGCATCCAGCCTGGCTGCTTCTGCTACTGCTGCCGCTTCGCGTGCTGCTGCCTCTGCCGCAGCCACAGCAGCTGCTGCTGCTGCTGCGTGGGCCTCTGCAGCTGCTGCGGATCTTCTTCTATTGCGCTTGCTCTCCCTCTCCACTCCCGCCAGCAACACATCCTTTGCAGGCCTCCTCTTCTTGGATTTGCGCCACCGGGCCACCAACTCGGGCCACTCCATGTTGTAGCTCAGAAGAGACACGGTCATGAGCTCACCAAGCTTGGCGTCGCACAGGTTCCCCCTCAGCCAGCTCTTGATCACGTTTTGCCGCGAGAACCCGCGCTCGCACTCCACAGTGCTCAGCGGGAGCACGGCTACAGCGATCCACAGGCGGACAATGTTGGGGTAGCTCGTTGTCCAATCTGGTGAGGATAGCATGTGCTTCAGGCCCTCCGCGAAGCCGACATCCTCCTGGTGGGTGCTCATGATTGTCGCGAAGGTGTTGAGCTCCCTCTGTGCTTTGGCCCAGTCCACACCTGTACGAATGGGCGGGTGAATAGAGGAAGACAAAGATGCGGCCGCATGAATACAAATGTAACGCGACGTGGCTTCAAAACGATTAAGCCCGAGATCTCACGACAATACGCCTAACACACCTGGCAGAGTGTCCGGATCCTCGGGATGCTTCTTGTACATGTCGCGCAGCGACTGCAACCACTGCGCCAACCGTCGCTCGCGCTTAGCCTGTGACATGGGGTATTGGGACTTCTTGAAGAGCTTCGCGCCATTGAGCGACGCGAGATCATGCAGTCGGTAGTCGAGCTGCTTAATCAGCTCAACAACGAAGTCCCGCCCGAGCTTCAAACAGGAGTTGAGGTCGCCTTTGCTCTGCTGCCCCACGATAGCCTCTTCGTGCAGCAGGTAGCGGTGAGTTGTTGGCACTCCGGTGGAATCTAGGCCATCAACCTTGACCTCCCGACACTTCCCCGAGGCATGTTTCGCCAAGAATGGACCCAGCGCAGCGCCGCTTTGCCCGAACGTCTCGTCGTTGCTGTCGAGGTAACGAGTCCGCAGCAGGAGTGTTGTGTTGTGTACCGTCTGCAGCACATGGGTGGCGTCAATCTGCAAAAGCATGAAGCAGAAATGGTTAGATTGTGACTATGGTTTACGAAGGCGGTTGCAAGCGTAAACATTAACGCGTACCTGTCGTTGCTGGAACTTCAAGTTGAGCAGGTTCAGCTCCTTCAACACATCGGCAAGCAAGTAGAGTAAGAAATGGAATTTGAAACTAGTCACTGTCGCGTACATCTTTTTGTCGAATTCCTGCAAGACGATCACAACCGCAGGAAACACCGCGACGAGTCGCTGGATCGCATTGCCTCGGGAAAGCCACCTCACGTCCTTGATGCCCTGCATCTCCAAATGTGTCTCGCAAATGACCTCTTGCAGCTCCTTGAAACGCGTATGGACCACAAGGCGCCCGAGAATGTCGACCACAGACCGGACCGCCTTGTCCACAATCTGGAGGTCAGGGAACGCGGTTGCTGCATCTTTTGCTGCCAGCGCCTCCCTGCATGAATCAACCGAAACATTTTAGTACACGCAAGATAGGCAAATCAACATACAACTTGGTATAACTCGCCTGTGAGCGACACAGTGGCACGAAACGAGATGAGGAATCTTCGTGCGCAGCCGCGCGACCAACCCGTTGTGCTGGCCAGTCATCACAGAAGCGCCGTCTGTGCTCATACCGCTAATGCGCTGCAGATCGATGCCCGCCGTCTCAAAATGCGTTAGCAGGCCAGTTAGCAGCGAGGCGGCGTCACACTGCTCCACTGAGAGCAGGGTGTAGAACTCCGTGACTGGAAGGTTGTCGCGCACGAAGGTCATGTATACTATCATATGCTTCCCGCGCCTACGGTCCGTGCTCTCATCCAGCTGGATCCCGAGAAAGGGGCTGGCTCGGATGTACTGCCGCTGACGGGACCGCAGGTATGACACCATCGTCGCCACTATCTGTGCAAAACCGTACCTGTAACACAAAAACAATAGGGGCGTGAGCATGGTGGAGCAGACACACAGACATAAGCGGGATACAGAAATTTTACTCACTCGCTGTAGTACGTGCCGTTTTCCTTCACGGGCATGTCCGGCGTGCCCTGCTCAGCCATGAATTGAACAAGAGCAACGAAAAGCACAATAGGGGCGTCAGATTTGCAGATGAAGAGAGCGATTGCCATTAATCGAGCAATTCGCCTGGCGTCGTCGTCACCCTTGTCGAAGGTTGTCATGGACTTTTGGCCTTTCTTAAGGCCATCACGTTGTTCCTTCTGCAGCACCGCGGCCTCGTGCTTCACGCTGAAATGATGCTTGCGCATCGTCTGCTTCTGAATGTCGAGGCCGCCTTCACCGTAGCGGCCGTACTTGTAGTGCGGGTCCCCGAACACCATACAGACGCTGCAGCGCATGCACGGTCGCCCGTCCTTCGTCTCACTGATGAAGAGCCACGGGAAATAACGAAGCCACTGCTCCTTACACTTGAGCTGCAGCTCTTCCACAGAGAGCGGCCGACGTCCCTTGGTTTTGCCCTTGTCCTCTTCTTCCGAATCGTCATCGGCGGATTGACGAGTCGTGGGCGGGACCGTCTCCGATGGCGCGGGCAAGGTAGGACCTGCGGGACGGGCAAAGTTAAGCATCCTCTGCTTGTATTTAGCTTTCAGTGAAGCCCTGTCAGGCAGCACAGGGTTAGCCCGAAGATCGGTGGTTGTTGCAACAGAAACAACAGGGCGGATGGATTCACGGCCGGATGTAGGCGAGCTTGTCGACGTGGGCGTGGTAGCCTTGGGCATGCCATCGTCCGCCTTTTCTTCGGCCACAGTGTCTGGCGATGCGTTGGTTGGGGGTATAACTTGGGTTGAGCACGAGGCAACGTGGGGTGCAACGACGGGGATCGACTTGCCCCGTGTGAGAAAATCTAGCGCTGAGACTCTAGGGGGGTGTAACTCCTCTGGAATGGCCATCAGGGGGTATGGCGAAAGTGGAAAACTGCACTGCGGGGCCAGTCGAGTGCAGCGGAAGAAAAGGATGTAGAAGATGGACGGTGTGCCCCCAGCCTGGTCCCTCAAACCCTCGTCCCGTAGCTCGGCAGAGTGATACGCGGTGCGAGTGTGGGCGGGGAACCACAGTTACGTGCATCCGCGATGCATACAAGTCACCCCATCGCACAAAAGGATAGTGCCGGTGCCTGGGTGTAGCTGGCATCGGCGCCGACACCCACGCAGCGACAAAGTGCTGGCAGCATCTGACATGGTTAACTGCTGCCAGCGGTGCTGTTTCCTCCAGCGCGGATGCTACGGGACAGAAGCATTCATTACGCATGCATGTATAGATGCTGGCAGATACCCTAACTAGTGGCCCTATGGACAAGTGGGCACAAATGTCGGTTTCAGACGGAATCGTACTCGTTATCTGGATTCTCAGATGAAGAATAGTATGCGATCTGAAAATTTATCTCAAGTAAAATCATTTGTCTTACTGATCATCTGAAAATAAAATCACAGTCTTACAGATCATCTGAAATAAGAAAATGAAGTCTGAAACGCAGACCATCAGACCAAATTGGTCTGATAACGAGGGCCCTGCCTAGGCCTCGTTGTTCATTCAGACGTTGTAATCACTTCCGCATTATTGAGTTCTGCGCACTCTTCCTTTCACAACTTATAACAGGCAGCCTGACTTGGAGCAATGAAACCAAGCTGGTTTCGCCGGGCCGCTCTGACACAAACGGCCACTGTTGGCAAGCTTCCTGGGGGTTATCCCATTTCCAAACCTCACTCCCGCCACTCGCCGTCGTCTTCCAACCAAAAGACACCACCGGACAGCTACGGAAAGTATACCGTACCGAACCCCCCTGTGCCTGGGCAGGTCAGGCACAATTATGCTCCCTGGTGTTCCAAGCCTGCGGAGGTTCGGGTTCCGGTGACATGATGAGCCTGTCGAACCTGTACACACCCACACCTCCAAGTTCTCTCCCCCAGTTGACCAACCTAGAGAACTCCGAGCACAGACCATGAAGTCTAGTTCCAGTCTTCATTTTTACGAGTCCTAGACTAGATGATCTTGCAGGAACGTATGTCATCATTCCATCAGGAGCCTCGCCACTCTTTATTATCGATGATATCAGAGCGTTTGATGGTTTGGAAGACCCAAACTGGAAGATAAGAACCATTGTATCAGCTTCTGCCAATTTTGGCCATGGCGTTTTCCCAGTCTGAAGCACGATGCTGTTTGCCTCGTCGAAATGGTGGAATCCCATGCTAGTTTACTCACCTCTCTGGTCTTTCTAGTTAGACAAGCTATTTATTAGCCTTCTCTGTAGTTCTGGCATGTTCGCTGCCTCTTTACATCAACAACATACCCCATACATCAGCAGCAGCAGTCATGGTCGCTCCTTCGTCAGTCCTCAGTCTGAAAATGATTCGCAACGCGACATGGGCCAGGCAGAAGCAGGACGAGCCGTCGCCAACCCCGTCTGCTCGCCCGGAACGCATGCTGTACGCCTCTTTGCTACCCTTACTCTTGAGATGCCTCTAAGTTCTACCTCCAGTCATAGTTTCAAGACTCTGTGAACTTCCCCGCCTCTCTTACTGTGAACGCGCGTCGTGATCCCGGAATTTGTCCTGACGTTTGATCGCTCGTACCGCTTTCGACAATTCGCGTTCTGCTTCCCCGAACTTTTCGAGAGCCAGTTAGATACCAGCCTTGACCATTCGCGTTCTGTTTGTTTTTCTTTTCTTTTCTTTTCGGAAGCCAGAAAGGTACCAGCCGATACTAGAAATTCCATTGTCCAGCTTTTCCTGTGTGCTCTAAGTGCATGACCTGAAGTTTTGTGTTGTATTAGTCAGCGCGTACTGCAACCACAGAAATGACAGATTTTTGAGTCGACTCAGAAGCCACCAGATGGGACGTCTTATGTTGCATTCTGGTCGCCTGAATTCATTTGCCGTGCATAAGTCGGCAAGCTTAGAAGCTGAGTCATTGTGATCGGCATGCGCAAAGGCCCGTGTGAGCGCGTGTGTGCGTTCGAGCATTCGAGCATGCTTTTCGCCTACACACGCGCCACACCGCGGGTTTGTCACGGATGTGTGTGCTTCTTCATGCTGCTGCTCATGGTGTGATGGCACGATGGTATGATGGTCTGATGGCACAATGGTATGATGGGACGATGGTATGACGATATGATGGTATGGTGCGATGCTGTTGCTCTGCCATGCATCAGGGACATGTACGGGTTCGCGGTGCAGCCACAGTACGTGGACGTCTACAAGGCCTACGTTCCCGTCTACCATGTGAGTTGCCCCTGCGCTGTTCGTCTGTCCTCGTCTACAGAGCTGTGTCCCCATGCGGCGTAGGCATGCATCCCGTCATCCCTGTGCTTCTGTCCGTCGTCCCTCCCCTCCCGCTCCTCCCAAACTCCCACACCCACAGCACAACTTCCCGCACCCCTTATTCCACTCACCACTCGCCAGGACGAGGAGACAGAGTGGTCGGAGCAGTGGTACTCGTTCCTCCGCGCGCGCGACCTTCCCTTCCACACCGTCCTTGTGCTTGTGCCCATCATCCCTGCGCCGACGCCTGCGCCTGCAGCAGAAGCGCCCTCTGGCGAAGGCGCGGAAGAGGGGGGCGGAGAGGGGAGGTTCCGCGCAGTGTTTAGGGAGGAGCTGTGGGCCGTTGAGCGCGTTCTGAGGGGTGCTGCTGATGCACGCGCGGGGAACGCAGGGAGTTCGGGGGACGGGGGGAGGAGTGAAAGGGATTCTGGAGGAGAGAGGAGAGGAAAGCGAATAGGAGAGGGCAGCGGGGAGGGGAGCGGAGCAGGCAGTGGAGAGACGGGAGGAGAGGAGCTAGGAGGAGGAGGGGGAGAGGGAGAAGGAGGAGGAGGGGGAGGAGGCAAGGGAGGGGAAAGCGGAGCAGGCAAGGGAGTGGGTGGGAGTGTGGCGACAGAGGAGGCATGGAGAGCGGAGCTGACGTCCCTAGTGATGGGGGGCATTCCCATGAACATGCGGGGCGAGGTGTGGCAGATCTTTGTGGGGAGTGCAGGGAGGAGGCAGGCGGGCGTGTATGAGGCGCTGCTGAGGGATGCGGGCAGGGAGGAGGAGCACGGGCCCAACAGCAGCCTGGCGGAGATCACTGCGCGGATCCATGAGAGGGACGCTGAGGTTGCATGCACCGTGCAGATTGAAAAGGTGTGCTGTGCGGTTCGAGTAGGTGTGTGGTAGGGTTTGACTATGCCTGGCGGAGATCACTGCGCGGATCCATGAGAGGGACGCTGAGGTGGCTTGCACCGTGCAGATTGAAAAGGTGTGTGGGCCTGCTGTCTTGGTTGCCCCTCCTCTCACGGTCACACTGTGTGCTTTTTAAGTCTGCCATACACCCAGCCCCCCATACCGCGACCCTCACCCTCTTAGGTTCTGCCTCCCACCTTCCTCAGCCACCCTGCTCTGAACACCAAGGGGCGAAAGCCTACTGCAGCGGCAACTCATAGTTCCTGTCTTGCTTCTCCTCCACAAACCCCCTTTCGACCCACACCAATCTTCCCACCCCCACCATCCTTAATCCCCACAGGACCTGCCTCGCACGTTCCCCGGGCACCCTGCGCTGGACACCAAGGGGTTGGACACTCGGAGGCTGTTGCTAGAATCCCCTTTGCCCTCCATTCCACTTCCTAATTCTCCACCCTCCCCCTGCCCCTTTCCCTACTGTAGGACCTGCCGCGCACCTTCCCCGGGCACCCTGCGCTGGACGCCAAGGGGCGGGACGCGCTGAGGCGGCTGCTGGTGGCGTATTCGCGGCGCAACCGCGCTCTGGGGTACTGCCAGGGCATGAACTTCCTCGCCGGGCTGCTGCTGCTGCTCATGCCTGAAAAGAACGCTTTCTGGTGAGGCTGGGTGGGGTGTAGAGGTGTGTGAGGTGAGGAGGTGTGGAGGCGCAACCGCGCTCTGGGGTACTGCCAGGGGATGAACTTCCTGGCGGGGCTGCTGCTGCTGCTCATGCCTGAAGAGAACGCTTTCTGGTGGGTGGCTTTGGTAGGGGTAGAGTGGCCATTCCGGTAAGCATGCAGTGGGTTTGAAACACGCTCCCTGATTGGCCTAACTATCCTGATTTCAGCTTTATGTGCAGTCCTTGTGTATCAGCATTGCATCCCACTGTAGAGAGGGTGTTTTTGAGACGTCTCAAAAACACCCTCTCTACACGTGGCCATCCCACTGCTCAGCTTCAACCGTGCCCCACCTCTACTCCCCATAACTGCCATGCTTATTATGCCACCCTCCACCCCCTCCCTCCTCTCTCCTCCTTTCCCCCCCTCCCCCGCTCATCCCCATGTGTCTCAGGACGCTGACGGCGATAGTGGACGAGTTGTTTCGAGGGTACTACTCCGATGAGATGGTTGAAGCTCAGGTGGGATGGGGGGTGGGTGGTGGTGGGATGGCGGGCAGGTGGGATAGGATGGAATGGTGGATACGCACAGGTGTGTGCAGGGTGGGTGGAAAGTGGGGCCTGGGCTGAGCAAAAATGGTAGAGCCGGTCAAAGGGCAGTTCTTATCAACGGGCACCTCTGGAGTCCGGACGCTGTTGCTGATGCTGTTGGTAGGCATATTTATGTTCCTGGTATTCCTCCGTACGGGCACCAGCCGTGACACCCTGTCTGTCCCGTTCGCTGCCCCACATTCCTCTTTGACCATGTTCGTCCTCGTCTGTGCGTACGTCCTGCTCTGTCTGTTCACATTTCCTCGTCTCCCCACCCGGTGGACCAACCAGCTGGTCTTTGAGGACCTTGTCCGCCAAAACTGACTTCCCAAGAGACGTCACAAAACTAGAGTCCTATTGGCCATGTGTTATCCCCGTCTGTGCTCACAGTCCCGCCCTGCTTCTCTTCCCACCAGGTGGACCAGCTGGTCTTTGAGGACCTTGTCCGCCAAAACTTACTTCCCAAGAGACGTCACAAAACTAGAGTCCTATTGGCCATGTGTTATCCACGTCTGTGCTCACAGTCCCGCCCTGCTTCTCTTCCCACCAGGTGGACCAGCTGGTCTTTGAGGACCTTGTTCGCCAAAACTTCCCCAGACTCGGTGAGTGGTGTGGTGCCAGCCTGGCAGGGCAGTTATCAACACTTGGCCCAGATAAATTAAAGTGCATATATCTTTCTGTTACGAGGGCCGTCTCGCGTTTTAGTCATTATCAACGTGCTCATGGCCTCAGGATCCAAGTTCATATTGGGAGTAGCAGCAAACCTGAAGATATCGCTCAAGCAAAAGGATCAAGACTAGTAAAACTTGTTCCTAGAAATTCAAGAAAATCTCAAAGCCTCCAAACTCGAAAAACCCTCATTATCAACGTGCTCATGGCCTCCACGTGTTCGCATCCCTACCATCATTCCCTGTGTCTGTTGAGGATGTTATGTTCTCAAGTGATACTTCCTCTCATTTCACACACTCTCATTCCTCGCACGCATCCTCCCGCAGCGGAGCACATGGATACAATGGGGGTGCAGATCTCATGGATCACGAGGCCATGGTTCCTCTTAGTCGTTCTCAACGCCCTGCTTGCACATTCACCCACCCATTCCACCCTCGCACCCACGCATACGACACTCTCTGCCCACCCCCGTGCAGCGGAGCACATGGATACAATGGGAGTGCAGATCTCATGGATCACAGGGCCATGGTTCCTCTCTGTCTTTGTCAACGTGCTGCCCTGGGAGAGTGGTGAGAGCAATGCTTTGTCTTCTGGCTCTTCGTTCGCTCGCCCTACCTGCTCCTCTATTGCGTCCTTCTATCTGCAATGCTGGGCACGTGAGACGTCTAGCTGTACAATCAACCACAAATGAGTCCAGCTTCGAACTTCAAAGTCCCCCTCTGCCTTTCCCCTTCCCTTTCTCCTCTGCTTCCATCCCTTTCCCCCTCTGCTTCCATCCCTTTCCCCCTCTGCTTCCATCCCTTTCCCCCTCTGCTTCCTTCCCTCATCGGCAGTACCCCTCTCCTGCCCTGTAGTGCTGCGAGTGTGGGACGTCATTCTGTACGAGCGCAATCGAGGAGTCTCGTTTCGTAATCCCCGTCTGCTTCCATCCCTTCCCTTCCCCCCTCTGCTTCCTCGCCTCTTGCTGCAGTGCTGCGAGTGTGGAACGTCATTCTCTACGAGCGCAATCGCAGCATGCTCTTCCTTATCCCTTCTGCTTCCCCTTTCCCCCTCTGCTTCCCTTCCCCTTCCTCCCTTTGCTTCCTTCCCTCATCTGCCCCACAGTGCTGCGGGTGTGGGACGTCATCCTCTACGAGCGCAATCGCAGCATGCTCTTCCGCACATGCCTCGCTCTCCTCGACATGCACTGTATGTGATGTGATGTGTTGTACTGTGCTGTGCTGTCGGGGTGCGCTGTTCGTGATGCTGTGCTGTGCTGTGCTGTGCCGTCCGGTGCGGTGTTGGGTGCGGTGCTCTGCTATGCTGTGCTGTGCTATGTACATGGCGCACTGTACATGTCTTCCATTTCCCTTTCCCTTTCCTTCCCCGTCATGCCACTAACACTACTCCATGCCTTCCTCTCATGCTCTCCTTTCCGTTCCCCCCCAGCCACGCTGCTGCTTTCGATGCAGGAGACGGGGGACATGATGTCAGCCCTACAGTCCATGGCAGCATCCACCTTCGACAGCACGCAGCTCGTGCTGTCTGCGTGTGTGGGCTACATGGACGTCAACGAAGCCATGCTCGAGGTACGTGCCTTATGTGGCTCGTGTTTGTGCTGCTGCTGTTGCCACAGCTCGTGCTGTCTGCGTGTGTGGGCTACATGGACGTCAACGAAGCCATGCTCGAGGTACGTGCCTTATGTGGCTCGTGTTTGTGCTGCTGCTGTTGCCACAGCTCGTGCTGTCTGCGTGTGTGGGCTACATGGACGTCAACGAGGCCATGCTCGAGGTATGTGCCTTATGTGGCAGCTGCTGCTCGTAGTGCTACTCGTGCATGCAGCACCTTCGACAGCACGCAGCTCGTGCTCTCCGCTTGTGTGGGATACATGGACGTTAACGAAGCCATGCTGGAGGTGAGATGTGTGAGCGTGAGTGCTGCTGCTGTTGCTCCTAGTGCTGCTTGTGCTGGTGCTACTCGTGCATGCAGCACCTTCGACAGCACGCAGCTCGTGCTCTCTGCGTGTGTGGGATACATGGACGTCAATGAAGCCATGCTGGAGGTGAGGCGTGCTGCTGTTGCTGCTGCTGCGCATGCTGCTGCTCGTCATCCTACAGCTCGTGCTGCCTGCGTGTGTCGCCAGGAGGTGCTCAAGCGCTGCCGCAGCGCCCGCACTGCCAGTAAACATCTCTCATTCTTCCTTCCCCCCAGGATCTGCGCACAAAGCACCGGCCCACCATAATGCACCGGGTGGACGAGCGCAGGGAGGAGCTCAAGTGCTGCCTTGGAGGCAAGTATGCCTTCTATCTCATTCCCGTTCCCCTTCCCTCCTCCCCAGGACCTGCGCACGAAGCACCGGCCAACCATAATGCACCGCGTGGACGAGCGCAGGGAGGTGCTCAAGCGCTGCCGCAACACACGCACCGCCAAGATCCACGCGGAGGCCCTGGCCGTTCTGCAGAGGCTCGCACCGCACAGCACCGCGCTCGGCTCCCCTCTCGGCCCGTCCTCCTCCCACGCCTCCCCGCTGTCTATCCCTTCATCGTTTGACGACTCAGTGCTGCCCTCCCCCTCGCCTGCTGCTAGAATGGGGCGATTGCGGGCCTTTGGGGATGAAGGGGAGAGGAGAAAGGAGAAGAGGGAGAAGAAGGGGAGGAAGGAGGGAAGAGCAGGAGGCAAGGAGGAAGGGAGAAGGGCAGGGGGAGGCGCAGGGGGGAGGGTAAGCAGTGCTGGTACTGAGAGTGCTACTAACGAGAACGGAGATGTTGACACTAGTGGTGGGGATTTGGGGCCAAGAGGAGACGTGTCCCCATCCTCCTCTGCCTTCTCCTCCCCATCCTTCACTCCTCCAGACTCCCCCCTTGCAAGCTTCAAGCTGTCCAATAACCGTCCCCCACCCGTCTCCTTCCCCCCACACACTCTCCTGCATCCCCTCCCTCCTCCCCTCCCTCTCACTCGCTCCTCCTCCCTCTCTCGCCTCTCCCCACCTGCTGCTCCCTCTTTCCTCATCTGCCCTGTGCAACCGCTGCAGTTCCCCTCACACGCCCCTGCCTACCCTAACGAAACAACTGCAGCTGGTACCGAACCTGGCGCCGAACCGGCAGCATCCGGTTCGGCAGAGACCTGGACTCAGCTGGTCCTCCCAGCCTCGGTGGTCGAGGCTCTTGATTCAATGCTGGGAGTAGGAGAGACGGAGGTGGGGAGAGAGAGGGGGAGGGACAGGGGAAGGGAGAGTGAAGGGACAGCAGCAGATGGTGAGAGAGACACTGAAATGGACCCGTGGGGTAGTGCCAGGTGGCAGGAGCTCACTGGTCCGCCTCGCCCACATGGTCATGCTCATGGGTCGGTTTCAGCATCAGCGTCAAAAGCTGCAGTGAGGCGAGCCGGAGGAGGAGCAGGGAGAGGGGTGGGTGAGTCTGTGGGAGGTGGGACGGCAGCGGCTGTTGCTGCAGCAGCACTGGCGTCGGTGTCAGAAGGGAGAGAGACGGATGGAAGAAACGCGTCTGTGTCTTCCACTGCTGCTGCTGCAGCTGCTGCTGCAGCTGCTGCTGCTGCTTCTGCTACTGCTGGTACCTCTGAAACGGCTGCCAGCAGTTACCAGCAGCGGATGAAGCGGTCTCCTGAGCTGCTGCTGCGAAGCGGGTCCTTTGCCCCTGGCAGCAGCAGCAGCAGCCGCATGAACCCGGTTCCATCCCTTGCGCTGGATGCGAGAGATGAGAGCTCGAATGCTGCCGCCACCGCCCCTGCAGATTCTGCTGAAGCTCCCACCACCACTGCTGCTAGTGTCGCTGCTGCTGTCAGTGCTGTGAGTGCAAGCAGCTCTGCCACCACACGCAGCAAGAGCAAGAGCAAGAGTAAGAGTAAGGGGTCGTCCCAGATAGAGTCAGATCTCTCCCCCACCTTCTCGCCCCCCTCCTCCCCCTCCTCCCCCCCTTCATCCGACTTCTCCCCCCCGTCCCCCGGTTCTCCCTCAGTTGCTTTGGAGGGGGATGGGTTGTTTCAGGACGGTGAGGGTACAGGGAAGGAGAAAGGGAGGAGGGATGAGAGGAGTGGTGGGAAGGACAAGGGAGAGAAGGAGCGGGAGGGCAAGAGGGAGAAGGTGCGGGAGAAGAGGCGAGAGGGGGAGGGGAGCAGGAAGGAGAAGGGGAGAGCGAAGGAGGAAATGGGTGGTGATTTGAAGGGAGGTCGCGGTGCTGGCGGTTTGGCGTCAGACTCGTTACAGTCACATTTCCGACAGTCACATTCACTTTCTGGGCATCAGCCCAGTGCAGGGAGGGGCGCGGATAATAGCAGTAACGGGGCGAGCAGTAAGGGGGATGTCAGGGAGTGGAGAGCAGCGGGAGGGAGAGGCAGGGGCATTCGGACACACAGTTTAAACGAAAGACGTAGCCCTGGGCTGGGAATTGGCGTGGGCATGGGTGTGGGTGGTGGGGGGGAGGGGTACCCCCCTCCGCACCACCATACGGACAGGGCAGGCCATGCTGCTCCAATTCGGGAGTCCAGAAGTGTTGCTGCTTCTCACAGTGGCTCTGGTGCTGGCGCGGGTGCTGGTGGCAATGCTGGTGTTGGTGGTGGTGGCAGCGGTGGTGGAGACGCAAGGGTGCATGGGAGGATAGGCAGGACGAGCAGTGCGGATGTGTGGAGAGTGGCAGAGAGGGGTGCTGGTGGTGGTGGGAGAGGAGGAGGGGGTGGAGAGGAGCAGGAGGAACGGAGGGATGGGGAGGGGTTGGGAGGGGTGGAGGGGGGGAAGGGGGGTGCGGAGAGCAGAGGAGGGCGGCATGTGCGGGTTGAAGTGGCGACGGAGTTGCAAGCACAGGTGAGTGGTTGTGAGAAAGCTGAAGAAAAAACACTCCCATTTCACTTCCGTTGTAGCACAGTTGTGCTGCACTGCACCTGTCCTTGAATCGTTCCTGCTTGTGACTCTTCCCCACCCTCCCACCTTCAAGGTGGCGTGGCTGAAGGAGCAGCTGGTGTTTGCACTGGAGGCAAGAGATGAAGCCGTCCTCAGGTGCTCCTCACATGTGCTCCAACACTCTTCTAATCGTCCCTGCTCGTGACTGCTCCTCCACCCTCCCCACCCTCCCACCTTCAAGGTAGCGTGGCTGAAGGAGCAGCTGGTGTTTGCACTGGAGGCAAGAGATGAAGCCGTCCTCATGTGCTCCTCACATGTGCTCCAACACTCTTCTAATCGTCCCTGCTCGTGACTGCTCCTCCACCCTCCCCACCCTCCCACCTTCAAGGTAGCGTGGCTGAAGGAGCAGCTGGTGTTTGCACTGGAGGCAAGAGATGAAGCCGTCCTCAGGTGCTCCTCACATGTGCTCCAACACTCTTCTAATCGTCCCTGCTCGTGACTGCTCCTCCACCCTCCCCACCCTCCCACCTTCAAGGAAGCGTGGCTGAAGGAGCAGCTGGTGTTTGCACTGGAGGCAAGAGATGAAGCCATCCTCAGGTGCTCCTCATTGGTGCTCCTCAGTGGTGCTGCAACACTCTTCAACTCGTCCCTGCTCGTGACTGCTGCACCCCCACCCCCGTCAACCCACCCACCCACCCTCCCACTCACCAGGTGGCGTGGCTGAAGGAGCAGCTGGTGTTTGCATTGGAGGCGAGAGATGAAGCCATTCTCAGGTGAGGCCGTTTGGAGGTGAGGCACTTTCATACCCAAAGCCTCCGTGTGTCCTCTTTTCACCTAGCATGTCTCATGCTCCACGTGTACATGTCTCATGCTCCACGTGCACATGTCTCATGCTCCACGTGTACATGTCTCATGCTCCACGTGTACATGTCTCATGCTCCACGTGCACATGTCTCATGCTCCACGTGCACATGTCTCATGCTCCACGTGCACATGTCTCAAGTGGCCAGGTCATCCCATGCGCACCCCCCGTCATCCCATGCGCACCCCCCGTCATCCCATGCGCACCCCCCGACATCCCATACACTGTTCTTCTGAACCATGAGACGTTGTTCATTCTGACGCATACCCCATTCTGCCATGTGCACACCCCATCGCCACATCCATGCCATGCCATGCCATGCCATCCCATGCCATGCCATGCCATGTATGCAGAGCCGAGGCACTACAGGCAGCCATGGTGGAGATGGGGCAGTCCACCACCAACCAGGCCCTCGCTGCTAAGGTAAGCTTTGAGACGACTCAAAGCCCGCGTGTACGTAGACAACTTTTGAGACGTCGAAAAGTCATGCAGGGCGGAGGCACTGCAGGCAGCCATGGTGGAGATGGGGCAGTCCACCACCAACCAGGCTCTCGCTGCTAAGGTAGCCCCCAACCCAACCCCCCCTTTACAAGTCATCGTTGTTAAAGTAGCATTTACGCCCAAATGAGACCCATAACACCACGAAGTAGCCCCCAAACGGAAACATGTGCTGCACGTGCTCTTTCTGATCTTTATAGCCCTTGTTCTCCTCCCCATGCCCATGTAGGGATGCAGAGGAGGGAGATGGCGCAGGGACGGTGGGGCTTCTATTGATTTTGTCCCTCTTCCCCCACCCTCGCTTCCCCCATCCCCTCGTTCCCCAACCCCTCTTTCCCCAACCCCACTTCCCTCACGCCCCCTTTCCCCATCCCCCCTCCCTCCACCCCCTTTTCCCGCACGCCCTCTTCTCCCCCATCAGATTGATCAGCTGGAGAATGCACTGATTGTCGCCAGAAGGCAAATTGACACACACAGGAGGGAGATAGCGCAGCAGCAGCGGGCCATGGAGGCACAGCAGGAGGCGTCAACTCGCTTGCTGCTGGAACAAAAAGAGGAAGCAGCACGGGCACTTGGGGAGGCGGTGAGGAGCAAGGATGCGGAGATGGAGAGGGAGGTGGGGGCGCTGCTGGGCGCGCTGATATATGCTGCCTCTCTTCCCTCACTCCCCTTCCTCTTCCCTTCAGATTGATGAGCTGGAGAATGCACTGATTGTCGCCCGTAAGCAGATAGAGGCGCACAGGAGGGAGATCGCGCAGCAGCAGCGGGCAATGGAGGCACAGCAGGAGACGTCCACGCGCTTGCTGCTGGAGCAGCAGGAGGAGGCGGCACGGGCACTGGGGGAGGCGGTGAGGAGCAAGGACGCGGAGATGGAGAGTGAGGTGAGAGCGCTACTGGGGGCACCTTCATATACGCATTGCCTCTATTTTCCTTCTCCCCTCCTTCGCTCCCCCACTCCCCTCAGATTGACGAGCTGGAGAATGCACTGATTGTGGCTCGGAAACAGATAGAGGCGCACAGGAGGGAGATCGCGCAGCAGCAAAGGGCAATGGAGGCCCAACAGGAGGCGTCTACACGTTTGCTTCTGGAACAACAAGAGGAAGCAGCGCGAGCACTGGTGGAGGCAGTGAGGGGGAAGGATGCGGAGATGGAGAGGGAGGTGGGGGCGCTGCTGGGCGCGCTGAGGGGCAAGGAGGAGCGCATGCGGGGCGAGATTGAGGAGTTGCAGGACAAGGTGGAGGAGAGAGACGCGGAGATTGGGCGGCTTGCCAGGGTGAGTGGGTGGGTGATGGGTCGTAAGGCTATGAGATGGTATTGCAGGCAAGGAGGAGCGCATGAGAGGGGAGATTGAGGAGTTGCAGGACAAGGTGGAGGAGAGGGATGCGGAGATTGGGCGGCTTGCTAGGGTGCGTGGGTGGGCGGTGGGTTGTAAGTCTATGAGCAAGGAGGTTGAGATGGTATTGCAGGCAAGGAGGAGCGCATGCGGGGCGAGATTGAGGAGTTGCAGGACAAGGTGGAGGAGAGAGATGCGGAAATAGGGCGGCTTGCTAGGGTGAGTGGTTGTTTCTGAGGCGCCATTCCCTCCGTCTCGTATCTCCCTCCTCTTCCCCTCCCCCACTACTTCTGGGGTGCCTTAACGATGTTCCTTTCGCCCTCACACTTTTCAACCAGAGGCTGGAGCAAGCAGTAAAGGACATGGAGAACATAATCGCAACCAACTCACACCAAGCCCCTCTATATCACTCAACCAACTCACACCAAGCCCCTCTATATCACTCAATTCCCCCCCCCTTCCCCCTCTCACCACGTGGATGGAGCAGAGGTTGGAGCGGGCAGCCAAGGATATGGAGGACATTATAGCGGCCAACGCGCAGCAGGTGGAGACTCAGAAGAACGTCATTGAGATGCTCGCGGTACGTTGTGGGAGTGTGGAGTGGTGGAGTGCGGTGCTGTCCGGAGCGGTGCTGTGCTCTGTCGTGTGGTTCGGTCCGGTGTGGCGATGATTTTTTCGGATGCTGTATAATACTCGTGTTTGGTCATGGGGTGAGCCATGATGTGTGGTGCAGAGCGGTACGTTATGGTGCTGCGTGTGATACAGTGGCAGGGGAGCAGTCGAGCCGCGAGGTGCAAGGTAACAGCCATGCCGCAGAGGGCACTGGCAGGGCAGAGGGCGCTGGCAGGGCAGAGGGCGCTGGCAGGGCAGAGGGCGCTGGCAGGGCAGAGGGCGCTGGCAGCATTTTCTTGCACTTCAAATTCCGGCTGTTGTCTTGCGAACTCGTTTAGGTGCCTCATCAATCGTCTACCCCTCCCTCCCTGTCCATGGCGCACAGGAGAGCAGTCGCGACGCAAGGCAGAGGCTGGCAGCCGTTGGGCAGGGGTATGAAGAAGTGTTTTGAGACGTCCCAAAACACTTCTTCAGGCAGAGGCTGGCAGCCGTTGAGCAGGGGGCACTGGCAGCACTGGCTGGCAGGCAACTCAGAGGTGATCTCATCTCTCTCAAATCTCTCAAGGCACCTCATTGGTGTTTTCCCCTTCCCCGCCAGTGGCATGCAGGACAGCAGTCGGGACGCGGGGCAGAAGCTGGCTGGCAGCCATGGAGGAGAGGGCGCTTGCAGCATTGCTCAGGCAAATCGGAGGTGGTCTCATCTCATCTCTCTCGAATCTGTCAAGGCACCTCATTAGTGGTCTCCTCCCTTCCTTTGTCTCGCACAGGAGAGCAGTCGGGACGCGAGGCAGAAGCTGGCAGCCATGGAAGAGAGGGCGGTGGCGGCAGAGAGGTCAGTCAGTGGGGCACGTAGGGATGATGTAGACTTTCAAATGGGTGAGATGATGCAAACTATGAGGGAACTCAATCACCACTGGGCATGCAGTGCTGTTGCAAGCGGAGAGGTGGACTCCAATGTGCGAGGCAGAAGCTGGCAGGCATGGAGGAGAGGGCGGTGGCAGCAGAGAGGTCAGTGAGTTAGTCAGCAGAACCCGGGCATGCAGATGTCCCAAATGAATGACATGAGATGACTTGTGAGGCGACTTTTGAGTCGACTCAAAAGGTGACTTTTGAGTTTTGAGTCGACTCATTAGTCAGCAGAACCTGGGCATGCAGATGTCCCAAATGAGTGAGATGAGATGACTTGTGAGGCGCGTTAAAGAAACCGTTCGCTGTGACGAGCTGGTGCAGATTTGCAAGGATAACGTTTTTGAGGCGCCTCATTAGTTGTTGCGTGCGCTGTGCGGAGGCACATCCCCAATCAGGAGGCTTTTGAGTCGACTCAAGAATCACCTTGTTGCATGCGCGGAGCCAGGTTACAAATCCAAATAGGAAATGGGTGCGATCACTTTCCCTCTTGCACTGCACCAAGCACCTTCCTCCTCCACTGCAGCACTCTTCCTGCGCTCCCCAACCTGCGTGGTCTCGCCACCCTGCCTGCTCTCCTCTCCATAATTGGCCTGCTCCTTCCCTCTCATGCTCATTTCCCAACTTCTCTCCATGCCGCAGAATGGTGGAAACCTTCATGGAAGCTTCCTCCCTGGAGGAGGTCCAATCGATGGTGGATGACATGCCAGCTGTCTCTCCCGGATCTCTTGACACGTCACCTTCTGTCTTCGCTGACGTCAGCATGAGAAGCTGCCAGACCAGCGTGACTAGCAGCAGTGTTGCCACGTCAGACGCTGAGCTGGAGAGAATGACAGCGGCGGCACTTGCGATTGGGAGCGGTAACAGAGGTAACACGAGGCAATACATTGGTAACCACCACCCTTCATCGTCGAATTATTTAATCGCACAGGGAGACTCGCACCAATCGGTGCTGCAGCAGGAGCAGCAGTACGGGAATCATCGGCCACGCACCGCTCCCGTTAATCGCCAACCGATAGCAGTCAGATCGCTTTTTGAAGGAATATCGGGAGCGTTCAGTTCTAGAATGGGGGGAGCTGTGCCAGGTGCAACATCCCTACCAAGGACTCAACCCTGACGAAAAGACTGGAACTGTGCAAGCAATGTGGAAGTATTTATGAGATGTTACAATTTTCGATTTTGCCTTCAACCTCCCTAATTTTTGTGGACTACGGTTCGGAACTTCAGTCTTATCACAATAACGCGGATGCTCCTCACGAGCCCCCGACTCCGTGTGCACTGAATTTGTTCTGCGCCGATTTGTTGCGCCTGATTCACATTCAGCGCTTTCACTTTCCCCCGACGCCCCATTCACCGCCAGCCAGGGCCCAAAATATCAGGGTAAAACGCCCTGATTACCCTGGGGGTCGGCCGTTTTTTCAGGATTACCCTGCCAAAATCAGGAATGCGAATTAGTTGCCCTTCTCTTAAAAGAACATGTTTTTTTTTACCCTGACTGGTTTTAAGGTTAGGCTGACGGAATCAGGGTGTGGTGTACACTACCCTTTTACCGAAACCAGGCCCCAAAATGTTAGGGTAAAATACCCTGATTGCCCTGACTGGCGGCCGCTTTTTTTGGGGTTACCCTGACCCAGTCAGGCTCCCGGATTTCTTACCCTGACTCATAAAGAGTTTGATTTTTTGTACCCTTATGAATTCCGAGCTATAGATTGTTTCCCCTGACTTTCATCAGTGTTTTAATCCTGTTACACTGATACCGAGTCTTTCGTAGCGAGGATATAGTGGATGTTGCGCAAAATGGCACCAGCAAGTAGTGCACTACGCTTATTTCCCAATGCGAGCATTAAACCTGCGACCTTTCCTCTCACAACTTCGCCTCTGACCGAGTGAAACACTTCAACTTGCAATGTTCTTATTCGTTATAAATATGGACTCTTACACGGAATCAGAGTACGAAATTTTTTTACCCTGTTTTCATCAGGGTACGAAATTTTTTACCCTAGGAGTCAGGGTTGGCCCACCCTGGAACTCTGATTTGACAGGGTGGGCCAAAACCAATTTTGGGCCCTGACCGAAACTTTTCTAACGCGAATCAGACCACAGTCCGCTTTGTGACAAAATGTACCACACCCCCACAAACACCGGTTGTCGCTTGTGCCCACGCGCAAAACAATGCCTCGCTGTCGGCAACGCGTCATGTTGCTTCTTTTGTTGTTTCTCTCGAATCTTGCCACCCGTCGCCACGCCCACCGCCAACACAGCAGAATTTGCTGTCAATGACAGCTTCAAGCTGTCCTTGACAACAGAATGCAGCAGCAGTCCTGCCGTGCTGGCCATACACTTCCTGCCTCGTGGAAGAAACAGCCCTTGAGAGGCAGCCAGGGGGTCGTTCTCTTCGAGGGGGTCTCTCGCTTGGCCCTCATTCTCAACCATGCTCCAACTTTCACCTCAACAATGCCCACTGGAGAGCCCGATCCACCTGATGGCGCGAGAAACGGCCTCTCTGTGCTGGGCGTTTCACCACGCCTTAGCGAGAACTACGCCGTGCCCATCGCTCAGCCGCCGCCTCGTGAGCCGTCACCTGAATGTGTGGTAGGAACGGTTTATCCGTTCGAGCCGCCAGACTCACCCACGGCGTGGGAGCCACATCCTGGCATAGATTTGGTTCCCGGAGGAGGCGAGGGCTCGTCAAAGCCGCCAACTGCTTCGCCTTCGACGGTCAGCACCGCGCCCGTCAAGCGACCGCGTGTGGGAGTTACGTACAAGCAGCAGACGCTGTGGGGCGCCCCTCCTCCGAAAAACGCTACTTTACACAAGCGCCCTGCTCCTTCGGCCGACCCGACGCCACCCACCGCTCTGGCGGATGCTGAGTATGAGTCGGTGAAGAAGACGTTTGAGGGTCAGTGGGCAGGTAGCTTCAAGTGGTTACGTTTGCTCCGCATGTCTAACGGCCGTCCGTCTTTGAAGTGTGCGATTTGTGTAAAGCATGGAGATCCACTGGCGCACACCGCGTACGGGGCGAAGGGCGAAGGTGCTCGGGACCTCCAGATCGGCAGCATCCGCGCTCACACCTCCTCCCGTGCACACAAGGAGTCGTTGGAGAATCAGGAGAAGGCGGAAGCGGAGAAGGCGAAGCAGGCCTCAATCACACGATGGCAGGCTACAGACGCTTCCACACGGCACATCATTCGGCTCCTCCACATCGCGCACTTTGTCTGTAAGGCCGATGCACCCATAGCGATGTTCGTCCCGCTGTGTTGGTTTCTGGCGAAGGAGGGGTTACCAGACCTGCCTCCCGCTGGCGGCTACGGCGCGTACTACACAGAGTAAGTGGCTGCTTGATTTGGTGTTTCTGCTGTGTTCTATATTATCCACTGTGGTATTTAACCACCTATGTTGTCCCCTGGCAGTTACGGCTTCAAAGAGAACCTGCGCGCCCTCTCAACATACCTTCAAGAGACACAGCGCCAGCACCTGCTCGAATCCCCGTGGATAGGGATTCAACTCGACGAGAGCACGGACCGTGTGAATGGGAAACACCTCATTCTATACGCCACGTTCTTCCAGCGCACCACTGTGGTTACAGAGTTCTTGACTCTGATTACTGTTGACCGTTGTGACGGTGCCTCACTCACATCCACTGTTGTGCAGTATCTGACAGGTATCGGGCTGGATCTCCAGAAGATATCCAGCGTCGCATCCGATGGTGCCAGCGTCATGGTCGGCAAGAACCGAGGAGTCGTGACACGTCTTCGCATGCGCATTCCGCATCTGGCTTCAACACACTGTATCGCGCATCGGTAAGCATCACCGTTGTGTGCTCCGTGCTGCTCGCTTACCAAGTGCTGACGCTGACTAACAATATGTCGTGTTCCCTCTATGTACAGGGAGGCACTCGCTGCCAGTGATGCTGCAGAAGAGGTACCTGACCTGCTAATGATCGACGACGTCGTGCGCGCCTTCGCTGACCACATCGGCCGCAGCAGCGTAGACTACGCGAAGTTTCAAGAGATGCAGCGGATTTTCTGCCAGACGAATCTCGAGGCGCAGGGGATTAGCGACACACGATGGCTCGCCCGCGGTGAAGCGGTACAGCGCCTGCTAGACGTGCTCCCTGCGGCCATTGTGGTGATGAAGGATTACAAGGCGGATCTGTATGAGGTGGTGACCTCGTTCAAGTTCCACTGGCTCATCCGCTTTCTTGCGGATGTGCTTTGGGAACTGAACAGCCTTAACCTGCGATTCCAGCAGCGCCAGGTAAGCGTCTTTGTTGCTGGCGTCTTTGTTGTCGCTTGCAAGCAGGTGTACTAACTAACTCGCTGCGATCCCCATGTGCAGGTGGACGTCACCCTTGTTGCGCACATCGTGCAGCAGACAAGGATGCGTTTGAAGACGCGGTATTCCCTCCGCGACCCTGCACACCATTTCGGCAGCGGCGAGAAAATGCAGCTTCCCGAGTTCATTCAGAGGCACGGGGCAAAGGACAAGCGCGAGATGAAGGCGGAAGGCGTAGACGGGGAAGGGAATCCCGTCACGTTTGAGTTCACGCTGCACGAGCGCCCGCTGCCTGGACACGAGACGGAAGGCGATGTCACGGCGTGCGTCGAGCTGTCGATCAAGTACGTGCGCGCCATTGACAAGGAGCTGGAGTGGCGGATGCGCGACCTGGAGCTCCTGGAAGGCTCGAAGCTGTTTCGCACAGCCTCGTACGCGTCCGACGACACGAAGCGACTGGAAACCTTCAAGAAGTGGCTCGGCCAACTGCACAAGTTATACCACCACAAGCTGCCTAGTAAGCCTTCTGTAGCGCTTGCACATGTTATGATGTTTGTTGTCACTTTCATGCCTGACATGAGGTTAACCATTGCACATCCTGCATACTGTGGCCTGTTGGACTAATGCCCCCCACCCCTAGCCGTGTCTGCAAGCATCGGCTTAGCTTTCACCCGCACTCCGCCCCACCACAGGGTTCGACTACAAGAGAGCCCAGCAGGAGCTGTGGATGTTTACATCCACAATGCTCGCCCAGCACAACAACGAGGAATTCCATCAGGCGCTGACGAACATGCTGCGGGATGATGCATGGCGTGTCTCCTTCCCCAACATCATGCGGATGTGGCAGTCAGTGGCCGTGCTGCCATTGAGCACGGTTGAATGCGAGCGTGGCTTCTCGAAGCAGAATCTGATCAAGACGTGGGGCCGTGGCAGCCTTGGCGACACAAGCCTGGAGCATCTGATACATTGCTCCCTGCTGCGGTACGATGTCGACTGGTTTGAGGTGGTCGCTATCTTTCGTGGAGAGAGGCTGAGGCGATCCACCAGGGAGTTCGACCCCACCAGAGCTTCACAGACTCAGTTTGTAGAAGATGTAGGCAGTGGGGGTGGCACTGAGTAGGTGTGTAGTTCATGTGTGACTTTTGTAGAGTGAATGGACTTTGGGTGTATTACTTTATTTCTGATTTTATTAAAACCGTAGCTCACAAAACTGTAACCAAAACAGAATTGGCCCGAAAATACCCTGCTCAAATCAGCCTAGTGCCAGAGTTACCCTGCTGAAATCAGGCTACGGAAAATTCTACCCTAGGGGTCTGTTCTAGGAGGGGCTGGTACCCTGATTTGTAAGAGTAGGCCTAAACCAATTTTGGGCCCTGCCGCCAGCTTTCGCTGAATCTGGACCACCCTCGCAGGCTGCTGTACAAGAGTTTCGCTTGTTACCACTTTGAATATCGCATACGCAGGCTGTTGTACACACACAAAAATTCGCCTGCGCGAAGATCGTGGAGACACTGCTTGCAGAAGGGGGGAAATTCAATTTCAGAAGGGTTGAGCTAGGCCCCACGTTTTCACGTTCTATCCGAGAAGAAAGGAATTCGGAGTTGCAGATTCTCGAGAGCCGGTCTATTGGGGAGATCCTCCTTCGCCTTGTTCGCACGCGCGCAGGACCTCTCTCGTCACTCTCACTCTACGTCTGCGCGCCACCACCGCCGCCGCCCCGGCAATCGCTGCCATGGGCTTCTCAATCTGCGCCCGTCGCGTCGCTCTCTGCTGCCTCTTTCTCGTCGTCGCCGCGCCGTGTCTGCTGACGTCAGCGCAGTTCCCCATCCCCTCGCAGTACGACGGCTTGATCTACGGTGCTGACGTCAGCGAGCGGCAGCCGGTGCTTCTGGAGGCGTTCCTGGATCTGACGTGTCCGTCCTGCCAGAGCGCGTGGCCCGTGTTGCGCCACGTGGCGAAGTTCTACGGGACGAAGCAGCTCCGATTCGTCGTTCATCTTTTCTCCAACGCGTAAGCTGCGGTTGCCCCTCTTTGAGAATCCTCAAATGCGACACAAGCCATCGCCCCCTTACTTCCCCTTCCCCAAGCTTCCACCACCATTCCTCCTAGTGCGCTCGTCCCACACCCCCTCTTTCTCCCGCACCCCCCTCACGCTCTCCCCTCTCCTCCGCGCAGTTTCCACCACAACTCGTACTTCGCCTCGCAGGCCACCACCGTCGCCGCAATCAACGGCTCGCTCGAGCTCGTTCCCTTTAGCCCCCGTTCACTCTCTTCCCCACCGCCCCTCTCCCCCACTTCCTCTGCCCCTCTCCCAGTTTCCACCACAACTCCTACTTCGCCTCGCAGGCCACCAATGCCGTCGCAGCCATCAACGGCTCGCTCGCGTTCGATTGGATCGACGCCGTCTTCGACGAGCAGGACGACCTGTCGCTGAGCGCCACGTGGCAGAAGACGCCCGAGCAGGTCGCGGCGCAGCTGGCGCGGCTCGCGTCGGAGCGCCTCGGGATTGACGAGGAGAGATTCAAGGGGGCGTTTTTGGACGCGGAGGTTGAATGGCGCACTCGACTCGCGTTCAAGGTTTGTGGTTGGGAGTTTGGTTGAGTAAGTGAGTGAGTGAGTGAGTGAGAGATTCGTTGAGTGAGTGAGGGTGGCCGAGTGAGTGTGTCGTAGGGAGAATGGGGGAAGGAGGATGAAGAGGAGAGGGGGGGCGCAGTTGGTAATGGAAGAATGGGCGGAGTGGACTCCCCCTGGCACGAGTTGAAGCCTTGCGTCCTTTTCATTGTCACCCAATAGCCTTGCATTCATTCGCTTCACTATATGGGGAGATTATCAGGATAGTATGGGTGTGAATGTACTTTTGAAATTTCTCAAAGGGGCTTCACTAAATGGAAATACTATCGAGATGATATGGGTGTGGATGTAGCAGACGCCATATCCCGATAGTGTGGGTGTGGAAATGTTGCACACTCCCGCTCGCGAGCCGAGTTCAAGGCGACTCATTTGGTGATCTGATTCGCAACACCCTCCCCCCTCCACCGCTACAGGTGTTGACGAGCATTGGTGGGAACACCAACCTTCTTCTTCTTCCAGTCGACTTGAAAAACTCCCCCACCCTCCTCTTCCTTATGTGGGCAGCACGGATGTTCACGAGCAGTGGTGGGAACGCCAACCTATCTGGTGAACGGAGTGGCGGTGCCACTAGCTGCGGCTGAGTGGACCATCTACGACTGGCGTGCCCTCCTTGACCCACTCAAGGGCTCAACCGCTCACTCCCTCTCCCCTTCCCTCCCTCTTCCCCATCTCTTCCCCCTCGTTGGCAGTACGGGTGCTCGAGGGCAGTGGTGGGAACGCCAACTTACCTGGTGAACGGAGTGGCGGTGCCAATGGCTGCAGCTGAGTGGACCATCTACGACTGGCGCGCCCTCCTTGACCCCCTCGTGGCCCCATCCGTCCTGGATTCGCACTCTCGCTCCCCTCGGAAGCTGGCGCTCCAGTGATGCTAGTCCCACTCCCCTGGCTGGCACTCAAGTGATGCTAGTCGCACTCCAGTGATGCTATCAGAGAACGGTATGCTCTGATAGTCTCATTGCAGTCGTCTACTTGCGGTTATCGTGCAGACAATCTCGATGTTGGTGCCGTGTCATCCGCGATTCTATCGTGAAAGGTAAAAGCCACATCTTTCGTTGTGCATTGCAAATTCGGCAATATTGAGAAACTAAACCAATTGTTTATATCGTATTTCAAAGTGTGCCTCCATTTTCAAACCAAACCCTTATCGATCACACAACCTGATGAACAGCTGCGAGGGAATTTGGACTAGCAAAATCTTTTGCTTGAACCTGTATTCTGTGCCAGCCCAACGTCCACAGATTGTAAGAAACAACATCCACTATTTGATCCTTGAAACAAATGCTCTATTCCCTTCCCCATTGCCCCGTGCCCCTCCCCCACACTTTACCCGGCCCTGCCACATGACAACCCTAACTCCATTCACATGTCGCCCACTAACCTTTACCCCAACATTTCTTCATTCCACCACTGTATTGCTCCTGCAGGCAATGGATCCAACCTCTAGGTTCTGGGGCGGGGAGGCGGCGGGCGCATGGCCCTGGCAGGGCAGCAGGAGGAGGTGCTGGGGGGGTTGGGGCCGGTCTTGAAGACGACACACCGGCGTGCCTCGGGGTACGTGGGGTTGTTATCCCCGGGGTTGATGTTCAGCACGGTGCCGCCCTGTGGGATCTGGGCTGTCAGGATGGGCAGCCGTACCCACCTGTTCTGAAAGAAGGCCACCGCTTGCTGCACAGGGGGAAGACACGCACACCCGAAACGCAGAGGAACACGTGAGAAGCACATGGCACGAGGCGTGCAGAGATTTGCCATCCGAAGACATTCACTGCCATCCGTAGGAGATAAGCAGCAAAAAATTAGGTCAGGAATTAGTTTTTCTATACAGAAACATTCACGGGCAACCGTAGGAACTGCTTTCTCCCCACTATGTCATTGTTAGAAGAGCAAGCACCCCACCTGGCTGAAGGAGCGAACGAAGACCAGCGAGCTGTTGCCCTCGGAGGTGATGTAGAACTGGTTACCAGCGTCGCACGGGCCCGTGAGCGCCGTGGTGCAGAAGAAGGTCGCGATGCCCGTGCTGGAGATGGTTACTCCACTGCCCTCCTTCACCACCACTGGCGGGCTGATGGCAAAGTCACCTGCAGTAGCGTTGGGCGGTACGATGCTGGACCGGGATGCACGCACAGGGGGAGTGAGGAGGGGAGGAGCGGGGGGAGAGCAAATTTTTGAGTCAATATGGTGGCGATGCCGGTGCTGGATGGCGCTGCCTCCTTCCGACATGTGTTGGCTTTTGGTGAGATCCTTTCCAGTGGCCTTGGGCGGCATGATACTGAAGAGAGGAGGGCGGTTGATTAGAATTCGCATTGAGTAAATAATCCTGCTGAACCCGCTGTTGATAAATTCCTGAAAGAAAATCAGTTTCTAGAAGAAGTGTAAACACGCAACGAACCACAGGTAGGGGCATCACATGAAAATCATTTTAATGCAAGCGGAAATATCAATTGTGCAAGCAGAAAACGAAGATAATTTTTCCAGCGCTCACTTGAAGGTGGGGATGGAGTCGCTGGAGCCTTCGAAGGCGAAGTCACAGCCATCGAGCGGCCCTCGGGGCCCCACCTGGCACTGCGCAGGGCAGGTCGGCTGCCCACCCTGCTGCAGCCCGCGTCTGCTAGCCAGAGCGGATGCTTGGGCGCCATTTGCGCTAGATGAGATGGATAGGAGCAGAGGAAGAAGGAATACGAAGAGGAGAGCCATGGTGGCGCGGATAGCCGTGAGGGCTATGCAGATCCTTCAAGGATTCGAGCCACGGGTGGGAAAGGATTTGCAAGAGATATCCAGGAAGCGAAGACGGGTTTAGGTGGGAAATGGCAGGCCTTTTCAGCAGAAGCAACAGGTTAGAATACAGAATAATCAGTTCGACGACGGAAGTAACGTTAGGCGGCACGCAATGGCGTGCTCTCCTGTCCCCGGTTGTGGCACAACTGGCGGCCATAGCTGCGGAATTTGGCGTGGGAAAGAGGTTCTCAGCATGGAACAAGTGTCGCCCAGCAGCTATTCCAGACTGGAAGCTTGGTTGGATTTTGGGTGATAGTTTCCGAGTCGCACATTTGACATGCGAGCCGCATGCTGCTGGAACGAGGCAGACATCCATCACGCGAATCGTTTTCTGCATTATGTAGATGACAGGACGTGATGAGAGAAAGCACAAACCGAAGGCTACCTCTTTCTATAGCGCGTAAAGTTTCACAGCTTGTGGTCAACCACCATCGAAGTCCCCAGTTCCCTTCAACCAGCAATCTCTGCTTTTCGTCTACACCTCAGAAACCATTCTATCAATTCTACTGGAACTAGTTGTGCTGAATTAGAATTTTGTCATCGTTACTTTTATCGAGGACAAATTTCCCCACCTTCGTCTCCCACCTTCTCCTCGCAGCCCCCCTCCCCTCCCTCCCAGCCTCCAACTCCCTCTGCTCGCTAACCCTAAAATCTCCTCTCCCACTTTCTCTTTCTCCTTTCCCGCGTAGTCTCGTCCCTTCTCTTCCTCCTCCCCACACGTCACCATGGTGAGCAATGCATAACACGTTAGTGTGAATCGGTCGTGTCGTGCACCCCAGTTATTATGGCAAAGTGCCGTCAAGGATAGCTTGTTCTTCAGAATCGATGCTCGAGAGTGAAACGTCGACCTTCGCAGCATGTTGCTCGCTCCTCCTCTGATCGCAACCCGCGCTGACTGCTCTGACGTTGCCTAGCGATCGTAGCCTTTTCTGCAACTCTGCGTCTGTGTTCATATCAATCCGTGTCCTATCGGACTCATCCCGACTTCATTCGTCTCGTCCCAACTTTGTCCCATCGCAATGTCATTCGTATGTTCTCTTGTGCTCCCGTTGTGCAGGTGAAGTACGCGAGGGAACCCGCCAACGCCACCAAATGTACGTTCCGGCTTAGCCTCTGGCCTGTAGACTCCACGGCATCGCATCACGTGTCCCTGCAACACATTGCTACCCCGAGACTTCGCGACTTAGGTCTAGTGGGCGATTGATCGGCGCCGTGCGTTTTTCATGTAGCCTTTCGTCGCCGTCTCCTTCGTTCGGCTAGATAAAGTGATTCTCAGAGCACGTTGTTTGATCGTGTCGATTGCGACCCCGGCCGGTTTTGGACAGATGGTCACTTAGTGCAAAGCTCTAGTAGGGCAAGTGGGCCGCTCGAGTCGAGCGCGCCGCGATTTGGAGTCTCGGTTCATTACGTGATAGGCACTGATTTAGAGTCGGCATGTCAAAGCACGACGCGCACTTTTCCTCGCGGGCAGCGGTCGGGTTCAGAAGTAGGCTAAAGTAAATCAACCAGGAATCTTGGAGGCGTCTTGGTGAAGGCAAACTAAGCCAGGCCAATCCATAGAGACAGATTGTCTCAGGTAGCTGCTATTGCGCGGGATAGGTTGGTGTACGTTATAATTTGGTGTTAAGTACGACGCGTTCCTGCGTGGGTTCGCGATAGGAACGAATCTTTCCCATGTCATGATGCAAATATTGGGCGACCTTAGTCTTGAAGCCACATTCGGTTCGTCGTCGTCTCACGCCTCCCTTCCGCTCCCCCATTCTTCCCTCGCCCGTCCCCCTCTCTCCTCACTTCTTCCCTTCCCCTGCTCGTCTGCTCGTCTGTCTGCATTTTTGGCACCCCTCTGCGCCCCTCTGCCCCCCCCTGTTCGACTCTGGTTGCAGCATGCAAGGCGAGAGGCTCATACTTCCGCGTCCACTTTAAGGTAACACCCGCTTCTCGTCATGATTGGCTTCCAGCATTCCTTGTGTTGAATTTTCTGCTTGCTTAATACAATGACACTTCCTGTATCGATATAGCACAGTAACCCCCCCTCTCCCTCCTTTCCCCTATTCCCCCCCCCTCCCCCCCCACCTTCCCTGGAACCCCCGCCCCCCTCGTCCTCTCTCTCCCTTCCCGGCTTCCCCTCCCCCCCGTACCCTTTCCATTCCCCTTTCGCTAAGGCCACATGTTCCGTGTTACCATCGTTCCCTGGTGCCAATCGCCAAACCGACTCCCAACACACGGATTGATCAAGACTCGCGCCCTACTCCATCCACCCTCGCTCCCTTTCCTTGCTCACCCCCGCCCCTCTTACCCTTTCCCCTTAGTTCGCCCATCCCTCGCATCCCTCCCTCTCCACCTCCTCCCCCCCCCTCTGCAGAACACGCGCGAGACAGCGCAGGCGATTAAGCACATGGATCTCACCGGGGCTCCCCCTCCTCCCCCTCCCCCATTCCGTTTTCCCTTTCCGCCACACCCCCCCTCCCCAGCCTCCTTCTCTGCCCGGTCCCCACTTCCCCCGCGCAGAACACGCGCGAGACAGCGCAGGCGATCAAGCACAAGGCGAAGCGGTTCCTGGAGGACGTGATCGCGCACAAGCAGGCCGTGCGGTTCCGCCGCTTCTGCTACTCTTTCATCGACTCCAAATTCTGACCAGCTCACCAATCCCCCTCCCCTTCCCCCCATGTACGCCCCTCTCTTGCTCCCCTTGTGCCATTTGCTCCCCGCCCGCTCCCCCCCTTCCTCCCCTCATCAGAACACGCGCGAGACAGCGCAGGCGATCAAGCACATGGATCTCACCAAGGCTCTCCCCCTCCCCCTCCCCCATTCTGTTTTCCCTTTCCGCCACACTTCCCCCCTCCCCCTGCTCTGCCCGTTCCCCCTTTTCACAGAACACGCGCGAGACAGCGCAGGCGATCAAGCACATGGATCTCACCAAGGCGAAGCGGTTCCTCGAGGACGTGATTGCGCACAAGCAGGCCGTGCCGTTCCGCCGCTTCTGCGGCGGCGTGGGGCGCACGGCGCAGGTGAAGCTGGTGCACACCAACGGCCAGGGCCGCTGGCCCGCCAAGTCCGCGCGCTTCCTGCTCGACCTGCTCAAGAACGCCGAGAGCAACGCCGAGGTACGTCTCTGCTGTGTTACTCGTCGGTGCTCGTCGGTGCACGGCGGTACTGAGGGCGTGTGTAGGTCGCTTCCTGCTCGACCTGCTCAAGAACGCCGAGAGCAACGCCGAGGTACGTCGGTAGGTACTCGTTGGTAGGGGTCGGTACTGAGGACGCTCGCTTCCTGCTGAACCGGATCACGGACCCCCGAGAGCAGCCCCTAGGTCGTAGGCAGTTATCCAAGCGGAATTCAGGACTTAGGAAGTATAGCTGATTGGGGTTCAGGGGTTGTTCTGCAAAGGAGCGGGCCCAGTGCCCGGAAGCTGTGGACCGTTCGATTTGTCGTTCGTCACGGCAGCCTGTTGAGTCACGGGCCCTGTCGCGCAAGGCTGCACACTAGCAGACTGCGTTTTTGGTGACGTTGGTAGAGTGCCGTAACGGTTCTGGGCCTACTGGCCGTGAGCGTGGCGGAATCGCAAACGGGAGCGGTAGTGTTAACGGAAGCGGATGGGAACGCGGCGCCGCGAGCGGAAGCAGAAGCGGAAGCTGTAGGGGGGACAGAGGCGGGAGCGGTCGCGAAACGGTGGTGAAAGAGGAACTTGGAGAGGTGTTCCTTAGGTTTTAGGAACGGTAAAGAGGGAGCGTGGGACTGATGGACGGAAAAGAGGTTCGAGACGTTTTAAACTGGAACTGAGTGGAAGCGGAAGTGGGAGACGTAAGCCTGGTGGCTTTAGAAACGAAAAAAAGAAGAACGGTACTGGTGGAGGGTTTGCACGCGGAGCGACTCGCGAGGGGCAGGTTCGAGATCGTCCGGAATTTATATTGCAGAACGTGACAATCTCGACGACGTTTCAGGATCTTGAATGCTTACTGTACCCGAACACGTGAACACTGGTGAATCGGGTTTTTATTAGAACCCTCTTTTGTACTTCCAAGTCCGTCCCCCCCTTGTCCCCCCTTTCCCTTGCGCCCCTCCCCGCCGCTGTCGACTCGCTCCACGTAAGCCGCATTCAGGTCAACCGCGCACTCAAGCGAACCCTACTTTCGTAATCTGCTCCCATTCCGATCACCCACTCGTCCTCTCCCCCCCTCATTCCCCCGCATTCCCCCCGCTCCCCCCCACCAGGTGAAGGGGCTTGATGTCGACTCCCTCCACGTGAGCCACATTCAGGTCAACCGCGCGCCCAAGCAGCGCCGCCGCACGTACCGCGCGCACGGTCGCATCAACCGTGAGTGCCAAACCCTTCCCGCGCCTCCCCCACCCGCGTGTTATGGCACTATTTCTGGGGCACGTCAGTGCCCTGCCCCGCGCCTCCCCCACCCGCGCTGCCGTTTTGCGACGTCTCAAAGCACGTACCGCGTGCACGGTCGCATCAACCGTGAGTGCCAACCCCCTCCCCCACTGCGCCCCTCCCTCACTGCGCCCCTCCCCCTCCGCGCCCCTCCCCCACCGCCCCCCTCCGCCACTCGCGCTGCCCCTTCCCAGCCTTGTTTGCCTTACACAACCGTACCATCATCCTACCCCCCACACGCTGGTCCCTCCTCCCACCCGCTCTTCCCATTGCCCAGCCCTTCAAATGTGTGCAGCCTACGCATCCCATCCCTGCCCCCACAACCCATACAAGCCGATGCATGCCACCTTCAAGCCCCTACTTTTCAATCTCAATGCATATGTTCATGTTTTTCGCCCTTCTAAATTATGCTGCCCACAGCTCTGTCCGTCCCTGCAATCACCTGAAAGCTCAACTCTCCTGTTAGCTATACCCACCCTTTCCTGTCCTTCCCCCTCCCCTGTCCTTCCCCCTCCCCTTCCTTTCTCTTTCCCCTCCCGTCTCGTCTCTGTCCCTTTGGTTCTGTGCAGCCTACATGTCGTCCCCGTCCCACATCGAGTTGATTCTCTCAGAGAAGGAGGCGGAGGTCAGGAAAGAGGTGAGAATCCCTAAATCCACATACATTCACAGAAATAATGCTGGAGCAGGTATTTCAAAAATTGAAGGCGTTGAGATGGTGTAGAATTTTTTCATAAGGGGTTGTCTAGGCAATGAGAAGGTTTGCAGCTCGTTTTGGCATATGGTTAATAATATTTTCCATTGCTTTTTGTGCTAACAGGCTGAGGAGGGTATCCGCAAGACGAAGAAGCAGAGCAGGCTCGCAAACTAAAGCCTTGACTAGATGTGGCCAGCATCTGCAGCAATGCGTCTAGGTTGCAACAAATGTATGGTGGTTGCTTGCTCATGTGCCTTGATGTCTAAATTTGTTGGAAGAAAATCATTCTGCCAATCTTCATTTACCGTAGATGCCACAGTTTTGCAACACATAGTTAGCATGAATAGACAAGAACATCAGAAACATCGGTTGGATACACAGAATAGTGGAGCTGCTTGTTCCGTGAATCCAGAGAAAAAGCGAACAGCTGGTAATTTTGTCGCTTTTGTCCCGGCCAGCCAAATACAGAGCCAGCTATACGCGGAGTACTGTAATGAGTACAATAAAACGCATTGTCCCTTTTCTTTCGGTTGGAATGTTTAGCGGAAACCGATCCACACTATAACCACTCGTTAGCATTCTGTCGCCATGACAGAAAGACAGCTGGACTGAAAAAGAACGATTTCAGTGTCGAGGGTGTTGTTGAAAAACAAAACCAGGATCGCTCGTCATTCTCCTCCACTCGATGCCTGGGCGAGTCAGATTTGCCGAAATGAGATCAGAATCACTGTCGCCCAGAGCCCAATTTTGTCAAATTTGCCCCCTAGCTGATTCAGCAGAGCAATTCCGCACAGTAAACTACACCCTCGCGCCTACACGCGTTATCACCGCCAGCACATATGAGTAGACACCTCCATAGCTGTGAGCACAAGCTATCCATTGATGAGAAAAGGTCAGAAGCCACAGCCTTTTCCACGACAGCAAGACCACAATGCTGAGCAGTGTTACTATGGTATCGGTTGACCTCCTCGGACTTGGGACAACATGGCGGACGAAGCCAAACAGGGAAAAGGGCTGATTTTGGAAGCGCCCGCGCCCGCAGGTTCTGCCGCATTCGATGAGCAGAGACGACAAGCCACGGAACTATATGATCGCAGCTAATCGGCTCTTAGCGTATCATACTCCAGTAGTACCTACTTTCGATTGAAACCATGGCCGCGACAACTCCTGTCCCCGCTCTGTTGCTCGTCCTCGTCCTCTCAACAACAAGCTCCTCTTTCGTTCGCGCGCGATGGCTGCCGTCCATGCGCAGCGGCTCCGAGAAAATACCGCACGTACCCGCAGCGGCAAGCACTGAAACTCCACCACATGCAGACGCCGTCGCCAATCGCGGCGGGAATGTCGCAAAATGCGTCGCGACGGGGTTGAGCGAGCTCTCCAGCTTCCACGGAGCGTCCAGTTGTCGCGTGTTTTCGACGCGAAGCGTTTTCATGGCGCCCGGAGCGGACGAGTGGACGTCCTTCGGGCCTCAGGATAAAGCGGACGCCCTAAGACGCCTTAGCGACTCAATCCCTAATCCGTCGTTCGCTGTCGAGTCCGTTACATCGCATCGCCTCCTCAACAGCCTCTACAAGCCCGCGGATCACGCGCTTGTCGTCCTAGGATCCGTCCATTCGTCCGCACCTGGCGCTGAGTCTGGAAGTGAAAAAATCGGGGGGCGGTTCCTCACTTTCTGGGACCAAGTTTGGCCTGCTGAGGACGCTTATAACGAGGATTGTTCCAAATGGGGTCTCAGCTGGCTAATGTGGCAAGCCCGCGACGAAAACGGCGTTCCCGCGAAAAAGGTTCCTTTCACTGCTAACGTTTCCGCCGATTATTCCGTCTCTCCTGACCTCGGAACGGCAGCGAAGCCGTCAGAACAACCGGCAGCAGAACCAGCAGACGTCACTCCAGACGTTCTGAGAATGGATGACGATTTCGGACACCTGGACGACGTCAAGGCAGCGCAGAGCAGCAACGAGGAAGCTAGTAACGGGGACAAGCACGAGGTGAAGGCTACGCTGGGGCAAGGCGAGGAGCCGAAGCAGTCGGATGTGACTTTCTACGTCCAAACAGCGTGGAGTGCGTTTGTGTCTGCTCTCGCGGCTGACGACGTTGCGTCGGCCTCGTCTATCCTGTTCGGTCCCGACGCCGTGACGCTCATGGCTCTGGGTGCTGACAGCGTGACTCTTGCAACGGAACAGGAGAAGGCAAACCTGCTCAATGTAAGCCCACTCTCCCGATTCTGCTGTATGGTCGTTACAAGCTCATCACACTAAGCTCCCTCTTATGAGGGATGCCAATAGTATCTGTTCTATTTGTTCTCTTTTCCAAGAGCATTTGTGTCTCGATGTCTCACAAATTTCGGCTTTGGACATGCAGGAATTTAAGGCATCGCACCTATCATTCTCGGTGATGGTAGAGGAAGTCGCAGTGCTGAAAGGAAGTGAGTCCACGCAGAATGTGGAATCATCAACCATCAGTGCTCTCGTCAGATCGACATACAGCATCGCAAATGCTCAAGGTTCGTGCAAGCAGTCTGACTGCATACATTGCATGGCTTGAAATTCTCAAGTGGAAGCCATTTTCTGACCCTGCTGTTATTTCATTGCTGGTTCAACCACTTGGCCTGTGCAGGCATAGAAGTGGAGCACGGAAAGAGAGTGGAGCTATGGCGGCCAAGTGCTACTAATGGGCGAGAGTGGCACTTGTCATGGTCCATGTGGAATGGAAATGGCCATGTCCTTACAAGGGAGGAGGCCATGGCTGCCTACGAAAACGATAAGTTTGTTCCACACGACGACAACAACCAAGTATTTTCTAATCTGTAGGCAGATGAATCAGATCCATTACAAATAGCTTCTGGGGTGCGAAAGTACCTATAAAGAGTACCATTTGTTTTATTCATAGGTGAAACGTGATATTTATTTATTTATTTATTGTCTTTAGTCTGAGAGTAAGAGCGTATTCCTATCCTCGTATCAAGAAAACCTCATATTAACCTCCCACTGAAAATTCCCCTAAACCCAAAACCTCTCGCTACTTTTACCAGGCAAAAAGTACAATCTTGATATGAGGTTTTCTTGATACGAGGATAGGAATACGCTCTAAGTGTAGTGGGTGAGCTGAATCACAATTTTTACAAGGATAGAGCAAGAAACCGCCTTCAGAAATGGGTCAAAGCGGGGAGGCCCTCCCCAGCGTGCTGCCGAGCAACGCAATGGCAATTTCCCTTTTCCGCAACCCGTCCCTCCGTCCAGACTCCCATGAATGCCGTTCCTGGTTCCCCCACCTCCACATTAGGACGCGGCACCTGTTTTCAAATTGGCACGATCGGAGGAGGATCGGGGCCTCACATCGATCCTGCCTCGATCGATGGGCACACCGGTGTGCCCAACTGTCTTTTGCGATCGCCTGGACACACCAAGCCTCAAGTGACACGATCGCAGATTTCTGGGGTAAAATTGCCCCGATCCCCACAATTACACGATCGATGTGAGGGCGCAGCCACATCGATCTTGCGAGCCACAGGTGACACCTTTTTGCTGACATATCTACTGTACGTAGACGAAAATGTGCGACAAAGGATACCATACCTTTGGCGACGTCGTCAAAATACTGTAGAGCCAACACATCGATCCCCGTGAGGATCGATCGTGGCAATTTGAAAACAGGTGCCGCGTCCTTACTGTACTCGTGGAGAGCAAGCGGGGGAGGGCTGCTCGGTTAAGGTCAGGCCACCCTAAACCTTAGAACCACGGGATTTTATGCAGGAACCCAGAGAAATACAGTATACCACAGTACGCAACTCACTGTATCCTACTGTACAGATGTTCCGGGTTAGAGGCCCTCGTTGAGAGAGTCCCTTTTCCCCCCCGAGAAGAATTTTCCGATATCGCCTAGGGTTGGCCCGACCCCTATAGTCCCGTTTTTGGCGGGAAACTTTGCAGCTTGACCGAATCATTGCACAAATCAGCTCCGCAGCCAATCAGAGGCTCCAGATCAAACCAGCCCAACATTCAAAGAAAACGATGAAGAAGAGTTAATCGATTCGATATTTTAACCTTTTATATGTAAGTAATTGTTTCTCTTGACCGCGACTACTTCTCAATCCTGTTGCACTGTCTCCACCGCGATCGACGATGACATCTCATTTATCTCACTTACAGGGTAGAAACGAAGTTTTTGGGTTACTATTCGACCCCCAAACCATAGTTGGATTTGTTCTGTTTTGACCGTTAGTCATGCGACATTGATCAGCGTGGAAAACCGTGCGACTGGAAGTTGAAGCAAGCGCGGTCCAAATCTACGTAAATGCCAAACTCCATAAACTAGTAGCAAAACAACCAGTCTTCATGCAATTTTCCTGAACGGGACTATAAGTATCGCGTTTTGCCTGGGGTTTGAAGGGTTTGCCACATAGTCCGCGCGCGGCGATGTTGATCCGTCGGACTATAAACGAGAAAGTCTGTACACCTGTTCTCCGATATCTCCACTACCCTTAATTTCACACCGCGGCTCGGTGTCACTTCGGGGTCCTCAGCCCAACTTTCTTGGAAGCCGAGCTGCCAAAGTGTGGTTGAACATCTAGACCCCCCCCCCCCCCCACTGAAATGACGCAATTTATACTCGTGAGGCTGAGATGGAAGCCACAACTTATGAAATATTCGAGGCGTATTCTTGGTGAGGTTCGGACTAGGAAATTTGACTTCGTATCGTGTGAGCTTGCTGTAAATTTTGAACTTCGTATTCCTCCAGAACATTGTCAACGTTTCATAGGCCGGCATGAACTTCTTCGAAACAAAACTGAGCAATGCCCTGATTCTGTTTTGGGTGTGAACCCAGCCCCACGCAATCATGACGTGGTGATGTGGCACTGGCTGGATAAATTTCCCTGAGATCGTGCGATGTACTTTATCCATGTCAGCTGCAAGCTTTGCGACTCGTGTGTGAAATTAACCAGAACTTTTTAGCTCTGTCAAATTTCACACCCTCTCGGGCAAACGTTAACGCGACTCGGGTATGTCCCCCCGTGAAATTACCGGAGAAGAGGTGTACCAGTTGATTCTGTATCGTGTGGAATGTGTGGTGGAGTGGAGTGTTTGCCGTAGGCGCTATGCTACCCCCGCGAGTTCCAGCCGTGCATTCTCGTCAGCCATTGATTGACCTTCACCCACAACGCGTTCCTGTATCCAGCCTGCTCTGAAATGGATGGCGGTGGGATGCATTCCAGAGCCGAAGGCAAAGTGGGGAGGGAAGGGCGGGAGCAGGAAAACTGGACCTGCCGGCTCCCCAACTCCGTAAGGACTCCAGAATTTCCTGGCGCCGTGTGCGGCGAGATCGAACCTCATCTCCTGATGGTGATGAAGCGCAGGAAAACACACGCCGCGAGGGCATTGTGTTGCATACAAACCATTTGGCAATGATCAGCCGCACCAGAGAGTGACTCTTTCTGCTCTTTCTGTTATTTCAAAGGCCAATCAACAATGGCTGCTAGTTCCTTTCCCGCTTTGCAGCTTACCTTATTAGCAGTGGTCATCTTCATCATCGGCTTCACCCATGCACGCACCCTGCCGTCCGTGCATTCCGGCGAATCGCCAGGAAAACAGAAAGTCACGTCACAATCTGTCGCCGCAAAGTACGTTGCGGCGGGGCTGAGCGAGGTCTTAAGCTTTCGCGAAGAGTCCAGTCGCCGCGTCTTTTCACCGCGGACCGTTTTCTTGGCTCCCGGAAAAGCCGAGCAAATTCTGTTCACGCCCCGAGATAAGGAACACGCCCTGAGACACCTTCGCAGCGCGCCGTTCACTCCTTGTCGAAACTCTTCACTCCTATCGCATCCTCAACAGCCTTTACAAGCCCGCAAATAACGCCCTCGTCGTCCTCGGCTCGCTCCAATCGGCGCCAAGCCCGGCAAATATTCAAAGTGACAACAACGGGGGGAGGTTTCTTGCATTTTGGGAGCAGATCACATGGACCGAGGATGATACCGACCAGGAGTGCTCTGAATGGGGCATCAGCTGGCTGATGTGGCAAACACGCGACGAAAAAACGAGAGGCGCGTCGAAAAGTGTTCCTCTGACTGCTACTTCTGCGAACGCATCCATAATTGCTGACGTCAAAAGAGCAGCTCTGGCGTCAGGAAAAACGGAAGCGGAAGCCAGGAATCGCATTCCGAGCGTTCTTAAAATGGATGACCATTTCGGCCACCAGGACGAAGTCAAAACGACGAGAGACAACGAGGAATACTTGAAGGGAAAGGCAGGTCGTGACGAGGAGCCGCAGCAGAGAGACGTGCGTTTCTGAGAAGAAACGAGGAATGAAATGACTAAGTGAAAGTTGGGTACAAAAAGCAAACCCTAGAAAACTGTACCCCATATGTGCCACCCCACTATAGCCTACAGTAGCTATGTCATATAAATCTGACACACCCCCATAGGCAAAGTGTGGGAGAACAAGGGGTCACAGGACCAGTCAAGCAAAGCAAAACAAGCTCAGGGTGGATCACAAAGTCACCACACATTCCGAGCACAAGTTCAAGGCCACAAGGCCAGTTCACATGCAGGATTACATATATATATAAGGCTAGACAAGCAAGAGCAGGAGTATATATATATATGCATCAGTACAAACAAGGTCAAGGGGTGAGCAAGTGAGGCAAGGTGGGCACAAGACCCAGCTGAGTACAGAAGCGCTGATGATCACAAGGCGCAAGTGCCTTGGTGAAGATATCAGCAGTGTTGGCCTGAGAGGCCACGTACGCAAGCCGCAGCTGACCACGCTGCTGTAGCTCACGAGCAAGGAAGTAGCGGAGAGCAATGTTCGTTCTGTGCTCCAGTCTCTGCTCTCGACACAAGGCCAGCATGGCCTTGTTGTCTACGTACAGCACTGGAGGAGAACGAGGCGGCTCTCCGAGGTCGGTCAGCAGGTAGGTGAGCCAGCGAAGCTCCTGTGCAGCCATGGCCCCGGCGTAGATCTCAGCCTCACAACTGGAGCCGAGAACAGAAGACGAGCGGGTAGCCCGCCACGAAAAAGAGCCAGAACCAAGGCTGAAGGTGTAACCCTGTGACGACCGCTGCGTAGCCTGGTCGTCAGCCCAAGAAGCGTCTGCGTGCCCAGTGAGGACCACTGGACTCTGCCCTCCAAGCACAAGCCCCATGCCCGACGTACTGCACAAGTAACGCAACACCCTCTTCGCTGCAGCCATGTGCTCCGGTCTGTGTCTCCCAGGAGCAACATAGCGTGCGAGAATGCTAAGAGGGTATGCGAGGTCAGGTCGTGTGCAGGTCATCAGGTACATGAGGCAGCCAACAAGCTCTGGGTACGGGCCACTCGACTCTACGGACTCATCCGAAGGCAGAGCTGAGAGCGAGTGGCGAGTAGGCAGAGGAGTGGCCTGAGGCGAGGAGTACGTGAAGCCGAAGCGCTGAAGGACCTGCTGCACCATGTGTGACTGAGTCAGGGTAATGGTGCGGCGTGCTCTGTCCCGGGTGATCTGCAAGCCAAGGTAGCTGCGCAGTTCACCCAGGTCTGTGCACGTGTGTCTCTTCTGCAGCTCGGACTTCACGTGGGCGAGTCCAGCAGTGTCAGCTGTGGCGAAGACCAAGTCGTCGACGTACACGAGGATGTAGAACGGCGGCAAAGAA